TTTATTGCTAAATCCAATTGCCTTTCAGACTTTATTCTACTTACAGTTTTTGACACTGTTGACCATTCCCTCCTCTTGGATAATCTTTCTTTTCTTGGCTTCCATGATATCACTCTCTGAGCATCAATGTCCTTTGAAAGATTATCCATTTCTGCCCTCAGTGTGTTTGTCACCCAAGTGCACCAAGTGAGTGCTTCTCTCAGTGATTTAATAAATTCTCATTGGTTCAATAATCATCTCCGTGTAGATCAATCAGTCAGCAAGCATTTATTAAGTGTCTACTATGTGTCAAGCACTGTGGTAAGCAATGGGGATTCAGTGACAAAAAATTGAAACAACCTCTGTCCTCAAGAAAGTTATTGAGGGCTATAATATTTACACATAAAAGTATATACAAAATAAATTTAAGGTATTTTAAGGAGGAGAAGCTACTAACAGCTGGGGGATCAAGAATGGCTTCATATAGAAAAGATGATAGTAGCGAGGAGGTAATGTATTCCAAGTGTGAGTGAGCGTTAATGCAAGAAGTTTGAAGATAGGAGACAGTGTTGTTTGTTAGGAACAATGAGAAAGCCAATTTGATTAGACAGCAAAATGTGTAAAGGGGCTCCTAAAGCTGTCTATCCAGTCCATATCTCTCTCCTGGGTTCCAGTTGCCTGCTGGATATTTCCATCTCAAACTCAACATGTCCAAAATGTAACTCATTAACTCTCATTCCAATCTCCTTCTAATCATCAAATTCACAACCTTGAAGCCATTCTTGACTTTAACCTCCTCCCATTCAGTCAGTTACCAAGTCTTGTTGATTTCCCCCTCCACAAAATGTCTCAATCCCTTCCGTGCTTCCTTCTCTTTCATATAGCCATCTTCTTAGTCTAGGCCCTTGTTTCCTTTCGCTTAGACTATTACAGTAGTCTCCTAATTCCTCTTTCCAACTCCTCCTCTCTTCCCTACAGTTGCCAAAATAAGTTAAAAAATTTTTTTATTAATTTATTTTGATTTATCAACAATCACTTCCATAAACTTTTGAGTTTTAAATTTTTCTCCCTCTCCTTCCCCAAGATGGCGCTCAATCTAATATATGCTATACATACACATTCCTATTAAACTATTTTCACATTAGTGATGTTGTAAGTAAGAATTAGAACCAATAGGAGGAACCACCAGAAAGAGGAAACAAAACACAACAGAAGAAAAAAAAATAGCAAATAGTGTGCTTTGATCTGCATTCAAACTCCATAGTTCTTGCTTTGGATATGGATAGCATTTTCCATCATTAGGCCCCTGGAGGTGTCTTAGATCCTTGAAATTCTGAGAAGGGCTAAGTCCATCAACATTAGTCATTGCACACAAAATAATTTTTTTTTCTAAAGCACAGCTATAACCATGACATTCCTTTGCTGAACAATCTTCAGGGGTTCCTGATTACCTGTTGGGGTAACATCCAAACTTACTCTCCTGTCATTGCAGTCCCTCCAGATGTTGGTTCCCACTTACCTTCTGAACCCTATTTCATGTTTCACCTTCATGAGCCCTACATTTCAGCCAAATTGGCCTTACTAGCTATTCCCTGAGCTTGAACTCAACATGCCTTTGCCCAAGCTGATCCCTAAGCCTTGAATGCATGTTTTCCTTATCTCTGCCTCTTAGAATCACTGATTTCTTCCAGGATGATACTTAAATGCTGCCTTTTCTAGAAGCCATTCCTGATCCATCCCTACAACACCCCCTGTTGTTAGTGGTTTGTCCTTCAAATTACTTTGAAGCGACACAGAACCTGTCCTGACATTCCTCCATGCCTCAGCCCCAAAGTGCTGGCCCCTTTATTTATGACAGCTTCCTTTGTGCTTGTCCTCTCCCAGCTCTATCTGACTTCTTTTGCCCTTCCCTCCTCCAGTTCCATAGGTTCTATTCTCTTGTCAGGATCTGGCTTCTTCCACTTATGGTTCCTAGCTTGGACTCCTGTAGTACTAGCAGTTCAGCCTTTTAAAGGACCTTAGGGGCATGGCCAAGTTTTTGCTACTTGGCCAGGCTTCCTAGAATTCTATCAGAGATAGATGTTCACACTTTGTAAAGGGATCACCTTGTATGGCCATAATTTTACAGTTAGTTTAGCACCTCTCTGTTTATTCCTTTCTATAATTAGAACCTGGGCTTTCAAAAATAATTCCCTTAATTCTTTCCCCAATTAAACATTTACATCCTTAAATTAACTGGAGCACATTTGGACATATTTACCCTTATTCCCAAACTCTGGATAGCTTTTTAATGACTATAGGTTTAAAAGTACATGCAGGATATGTTATATGCACTTATCATAACAATACATGCATATCCATACAAACTAATATACATAATCAGCAAAGCAATTCAATACCAATGTCAGCAGGTTTTTTAAAAAAATTGATCAATCAGTAAACATTTATTAAATACCTACTACATTCCAGGTACTCTACTAAGCACTGGGGATACAAAAAGAGGCAAAAGACAGTCTTTGCCCTCAAGGAGCTTACAATCAAATGGGGAAGACAACATGCAAACAACAAATATATACAAAGCAAGGCATAAGAAAGGGCAGCTAGGTGGTGTAGTGGATAAAGTGCTGAGCTTCAAGTCAGGAAAAATCTGGCCTCAGACACTTATTAACTCTATGATCCTGGGCAAGTCACTTAACCCTGTTTGCCTCCATTTTGAATTTGTAAAATGAGCTCTAGAAGAACATGGCAAACCACTGCTGTATCTTTGCCAAGAAAATCCCAATTGGGATCACAAAGCGTTGGACATGACTGAAATAGCAAACAATAGCAAGCTGTGAGGGAAAGCACTGGAATTAAGAGGAGTTATGGAAGGCTTCCTGTAGAAGGTGGAATTTTAGATGAGACTTAAAGAAAGCCAGAGAAGTCAGTATTCTGAGTGGAGAAGGGAGAATGTTCCAGGAATGGAGGAGAGCCAGAGAAAATGCCTGGAGCTGAGAGATGGAGTGTCTTGTTTATAGAACCATACTGTGGAGCCAGGAGACCCACGCCACTATATTAAAGAGTAGGTGTTGGGGAGTAAAATGTAAGAAGACTGGAAAGATAGGAGGGGGCTAGGTTATAAAGGGCTTTGAGATGTCAAACAGAGCATTTTTTATTTGCTCCTGGAGTCTTGGCAAGAGGAAGTTACTGGAGTGTGGCTGAGTCGGAAAATATGATCAGACCTGTGTTTTAGGAAAATCACTTTACTGGCTGAATGGAGAATGGATTGGAGTGGGGAGAAAGTTGAGGCAGGCCTGAGAGCCTGCACTAGAGTGTAGCCACAGGGCAAAGGCTCATCCTCAACTGGGTGTATTAAAATCCTACCCCCACTGCATTTAACTCATTTATGTACATGTTGGATCCTCCAGAAGCATGTAAGCTACTTGAGGGCAGGGGCTGTTTTTGTTTTTGTCTTTGTGTCCCCAGTGCCCAACATGGTACCTTGTACATAGTAGGCACTTAATAAATGTTTGTTGAATTTAATTAAAATGGAGATCATTAAGCTTGCCCTGCATTCCTCATGTGGTTGTTGGAAAAGTTAACTTTAAAAAGTTAAAAGTCCTGTGGAAATGTAAAGTGACATCATCATCATCATCATGTGGTTTGTTATTATTATTTTCTTTTTTGGTGAGGCAATCAGAGTTGCTTGCCCAGAGTCACACAGCTAGTAAGTGTCAAGTGTCTGAGGCCAGATTTGAGCTCAGGTCCTCCTCACTCCAAGGCTGGAGCTCTATGCACTGCACCATCTAGCTGCCCCTTGTGGTTTGTTATTTTGACCAGATATGGTCACATTTTTTCCTGCAGATACATTTTGGCAGATATTGCCAAAACAAATTTATTTAGAAGAAATGATATTTTCACTTTATTATTTCTTCTATACTGTATTGTATACCAGCTTTTGACCTCATTCTTCATGTTGGAACAATAACTTTTCTCATTACTAAGTAATTACTGCTTTCCTTATTCATCATTTTGTAGCCAAATAACTGAGCTCAGTCCTTTCCTGAGAGGTAGAGAATGTGCTTTCTCAGTGCAGAGTGGAAAGTATCGATATTTTCTCCTAGAGATCAGTCTAGGCTAGGTTTAAGAGGTGGAAGCTCTGCCCCTAAGTGGGCCATGTAGAGTGATTCTGAGTCTATTTACTTCTGCAAATTTCAGAAATGGGTAGCCCACATGATCTGATGGGTTCACAGAAACTTTGAGGCTATTTCTGGGAGAGTGGACAGGGTTTTGCATTAGCACCCAGAGAAAGGGGGTGGAAAGATCATAGAGAGAGAAAAGGACTAACTATCATGCCTCAGTTCACACTCCTCCCTGCCCCTTACCCTCTAATCACACATAGGTTTAGTTAGGACTGACGACTCTTGGCCAGCTGGAGAAAGTATCAGGGTGGAACTTCTATATATAAGAAATATTATTTGGAAACCAAAATACCTTTTTAAATGATTGAAACAGAAGGTACAATTACAGATGTAATCTCTTTTCTACATAACTTTCAGAAAGCCCAGCAAGATCTCTAGTTATATCTTGTTATAGTTTCTTATTTATTACATAATAGTATTTCTGCCATTTTTGGGGGAGGGTGTGAGGCAATGGGGGTTAAGTGACTTGACCAGGGTCACACAGCTAGTAAGTTTCACGTGTCTGAGGCCACATTTGAACTTGGGTCCTTCTGACTCCAAGGCTGGAGCTGTATCTACTGCACCACCTAGCTGCCCCCTGTTGAGTAATTGTAGAACTGTTTTCTGTGCACAGTGCTAATTGTTTTCATTTTCCTTACTCTCTTTTTTCTTTTCTTCTTACTTTCAGTAGAACCTTGAAAAATTGTTTCATCTCTAAGGGTTAAGTGAATCTCCACAGTCCAATTCTAGCACTAATCTAATTTAAATAACCAAAGTTCAGATGTTTAATGTATGCAGCATTTTCTTTTTAACAGCTTCATTAAAACACTTCCTAATGATACTTCCTTTCATTTATTTGAGGATGCTGCCACAGGAGTTAATATTCATGATTTTGAAAACAGTCATACAGCTCCTATTTCAGAATGCAGTCTGACAGCAGATAGCAAAAGGTGACTTTTACTTGTATTTTATGGGTCAGTAAAATACAACAAAGAAAATGATGCTGCTTATGGCACATTAATGTCATTGAAACTTTTCTGCAAATGGGAAGAAAGAGGATGATTTGACTCCCTTTTGCTGGGCTTTTACTGATATTTCCCTTTTACTGTTATTTCCCTGTGTGCTGTTGTTATTCTTATGAGGATCAAAGGAGATAGCTGTAAAGATAGTTTGAAAAGTTAATACTCTATTAATGTTTGAGAGATTGTTATTGTTTATGATTATAAATAAATGACCATTCTAAACTATCTTTGAATATTATTTTCTATTTGATCACATATAAAGATTAGAGTTGGAAGAGGCCTTAGTGACCCTTTAATCTAATTACCTCATTTTCTAGAGATGGAAACTGAGGCCCAGAGGGGAAAAGAGACTTGTCCAAGGTCAATCAAAAAGCATTTATTAAGCACTTACTATGTGCTGGAGCTGTGCTGAATGCTGGGTATACAAAGACAAAGGTAAAAACAGCTCTTGTCATTGAGGGACTCACATTCTAATGAGACAATATATAAATAACTAGATACATGCAAGACACTTGCAGAGTAGGTGGGAAGTAATCTCAGAGGTAAGATACTACTAGTGGAGGGAACTGGGCAAGACATCCTACAAAAAGTGGGATTTGAGAGAGTCTGGAAGGAAGTCAAGGGATCTAAGAGGTGGAGTTGAGGAAGGAGAGCATTCTAGGCATGGGAGATACTCAGACTGAAGGCACAGAGAAGGAGGTGGAATGTGCAAAGAGTAGCAGTTAGGGCAGTACAGCTGGATTGTGGAGCGTGTGGAGTAAAGTGTAAGAAGACCAGAAAGTAACAAGAAGCCCAATTATGAAGAGCATTAACTTCCAAGCAGGGAACCTTGTGTTTAATCTTAGAGGTGATAGGGAGCCATTGGAGTTTTTTGAGCAGGGGAGTGTCATGTAGCTAGTTAGTGACAGAGCTAGGAGTAGAACTCAGTCTCCTAAGAATTATTTTTAAAAGTAGGAGATTTAATGAATTCTGTGCCTTATCTGGCATTTATAACCATTTATGCTAAGGTGAATCTTCAAAAATAAAACCCAGCAACTAAAGAGTTAGCTTATTGGTATATAAGGAAACAAATGTTTCATATGGAATAATAGCTAAAAATGACAGTCCTAAGAAAATATGTAATTCTTTTTTTCAAGAAGAAATAGGAAATATGCAGCACAGAAAACTTGTTCTTGTTTTTTCCTTAAGTGTATAATCCATCCACAAATATTAATTAAGCACCTACTATGTGTCAGGTATTAGGAATACAAAGAAAAAACAGAAAAAGGTCTTCTCCCTTGAGGAGGTTATACATACACACACACATACACACACACACACACACACATATATACACATATGTATGTATGTATTTTTAAAATATGAACAATTGGGGTTAAAATGACTTACCCAGAGTCATACAGCTAGTGAGTGTTATATGTCTGAGGTCAGATTTGAACTCAGGTCCTCCAGACTCCAGAGCTGGCAATCTATCCACTGCACCACCTAGCTGCCCTGAGGAGCTTATACTCAAACAAAGGAGACAATGTGTACATATAAGAGTATATACAGAATATATAGGTCACAGTGGTAGAGTGGTATAGCAAGCAGAGTTGTTTAACCATTCCTATTTGTGCCTACTTCACCCTACTGCTCACCCTACTGACTCATTGCCTAGATGGGTTTCCCTATATAGCTCTCCTCTTCTCTGCTCAGATGTATCAAAAGATTCATAATCAATCCTTCCTTCCTTCCTTCCTTCCTTCCTTCCTTCCTTCCTTCCTTCCTTCCTTCCTCCCTCCCTCTCTCCCTTTCTCTCTCTCTCTCTCTTCTCTCTCTCTCTTTCTCTCTTTCTCCCTTTCATTCTCCCTTTCATTCTCCCTTTCTCTCTCTCTCTCTCTCTTTCTTTCTTTCTCTTTCTTTCTTTCTTTCTTTCTTTCTTTCTTTCTTTCTTTCTTTCTTTCTTTCTTTCTTTCTTTCTTTCTTTCTTTCTTTCTTTCTTTCTTTCTTTCCTTCCTTCCTTCCTTCCTTCCCCTGACAGAGATATCATTTCTGGCAAAAATGTTCAGAGTTAGATTTCTCTTCTCTGGAGATGTTTCTCCCTCAAGTGCCTCATCCTAGCTCTATTACCAATAAGTACCCACCCCTATTAAAAAAAATGCCTGAGTAACATTGTTTATAAAAGACAAGATAAACATTTAAAACAGAGAAACGGAGACCAAATAAGAAGCTTTTCCCTTATACAGAAGGAAAGGCTTCAGGTTCCCAAGAAGAAGTCCAAGAGGGGGTAAGGAAATATATAGGATTACCCTCTTGGGATCTATAGTGGGGAAGAGGGTAGTAATGTAGCATCTGTACTGACACACTTTCTGCCAATAGACTAAAATGACTTTGACTTGTCTCCCAGAGTCCTGGCCTAGCTCTCTGTAGAGGCTGCCTTCCCTTTTTCAGCTCCATATGTCTTGTGCACACTGAGTGCTGGGTTCCTCTATGAATCTCAATTCCACCAGGACTTAATTTTTTTAAACTTTTTTTTGGGGTGGGCTAGGCAATAGGGTTAAGAGACATGCCCAGGGTCACACAGCCAGTAAGTATGAAGTGTCTGAGGCCACATTTGAACCCAGGTACTCCTGACTCCAGGGCCAGTGCTCCATCTACTGTGCCACCTAGTTGCCCTGGACTTACTTTTAAAGTTCACCTGGGGCTTCATGGTCTATCACTATTTGTTCTGTCCCATTGTTCCTTAATTCACTCAAGGGATATGATTATACCTTAAAAAAGGATTGCCTAGGTAGCTGCGTATTTATAGTTTAAATACTTTGTTATCAGCCCCCTTTCAGTAATTTAGACTCTAGGCTTTCAAGGACCAAACTTCTTCACATCTACAAAATGAATATAAGGTATTTAGTTTTAGGAGAGAGAGAGTGTTGGCAGCTTGGGGAATCAGGAAAGGCTTCATGTAGAAGGTAGTAACTGAGCTTAATTTAGAAGGAAAGCAGAGATTTCAAGGAGCAGATGTGGAGAGGGTATACATCCTAGGAATGAAGGATAGCTAGCATAAAGGCAAAGAGATGGGATGAGGAGTGTTCTTTGTGAGAAAAACCAAGAAAGTCAGATTGGCTGGATCATAGAGTGTGGAGGGAAATAGTATGTATCAATGCTGGAAAGGTGGGAAGGGGGTAGTCAGTCAGTAAACATTTATTATGTGCCTTCTATGTGCCAGACGCTGTGCTAAGTACTAGGGATATGAAAGACAGTCCCTGCCCTTACAAACAAGCCATATACAGAAGAAACAGGAAAGAAGGAAGACACTAGAATTAAAAGTAGTTAGGAAAGGCTTCCTATAGAAGATGGGATTTTAATTGGGACTAGGAAGTCAGAGAAGCCAGTAAACTGAAATGAAGGGGAGAATTTTAGGCACGGGGGACAGTTGGAAGAAAAAAATAACCTGAGATAGTAGTAAAGGGCTTTAAATGACATACAGAGGAGTTTATATTTGATCCAACAGGTAAAAGATAGCCACTAGAATTATCAAATGGAGAAAGGGGAAAGGTGATAGTGACATGGTCAGATCTGCACTTTGGGAAAATCACTTTAGTGGAGGCTGTACTGGAGAGGAGAAAGGCTTGACAAAGGGAGACCAGATAAGAGGCTGTTGCAACAGAGCAGGTGAGAGGTGATGAGGACCATTATTATGGTGGTGGCTGTGTGAGTAGAAAGAAAGGGACATTTTAAAGAGATATTATGGAAGAGCAATGAAAGATTTTGAAAATTGATTGGATATATGGGGTGAGTGTGAGTGAGGAGTCAAGAATGAAACTGAGGATGGGAATCTGGGTGACTGGAAGGATGGCATCATCCTGGATAATAAGAGGGAAGTTGGAAGAGCAGTAGGTTTGGAGAGAAAGAAAATGAGTTCTGCTTTGGAAATGCTGAGTTTGAGAGGCCTACAGGACATCCATTTTGAAATGTACGATAAGAACAAAAGTCAGAAAAAAGGAGCCATCTGTTCAATTATTCCCCAATTAAAAAAAACCCTATAGACATGTGAGTAGAGAAAGAAATGATGGCTTTGCATAGTAGGCATCCATTTCAGAGTAGATAACAAATTATAACAAACCAACATGATTCAAGCAAGGGTCATAATTATAAAATCTCACAAAGTCAGGCTGTTGCCAGACTAGCGAATGGCAACATTACTATGTTGCCTTTGAGATTAATTTGTCTATAATGTGTTACAAAATAAAGTCTTCTGAATAAAGAAATTATAAAATGATAACTGCTTTAGCATCCATCATAAACAATGTTTCAACATAACAAACATAAAGGCATTATGGTTCTACAAAAAAATCTAAGTGGGTTTTAAATGGGAAAATCAGTCCATGTCTCTGGGCCTTACTATCCCTAACTATAGAAGGAGGAGAATGGACGAGATCTCTAAGTGCCAGTATTCTGTGATTCTATGTAAATGCATGTGTGTGTGTTTCAGAAAAGCTGTGGGAGAAAAATGTTTGTATGGATCTCCTGTTAACAGAAGCATGCCAGTTTATAGTAGTTCATTGGGTAACACATAGCTTTGTGGTTAACAGGCCTCGTAATTGTATAACACAGCGTCATTGAGAAAGAAGTTTACTAGCAACATCAGCAATTGGAATGGCAAAGAAATAGTTGGTGGGAGAATTCATATGGAGAATGGCAAATATGCTTGCTGAAAGACTGTTGACATGTTAGTGATCATTGAGGAGTTAAAATCATCTGAGTTAGAGATGATATATGGTGTAGTGAGTAGAGAGCCAATTCAGGAAAATCTGGGTTTAAGTTCTGCTTGACACACACTAGCAGTGTGATCCTGGACAAGTAGCTTCACCTTTCAGTGCCTCAGATAACTTTCCAAGATTATAAATTGTAAAAGAGGTACTTATCTGCCTTGATATTAAGGATTTCCTCACTCAAAGTTCCCTCTACTAATGAAATCACAGAATTGTTTTAAAAAAATGAATTACTATGGTATTTTGTAAATGAATTTTTTAGAATAAATGTAATGAAAACTACATTGTCTCTGTTGTTTTCATAGGTTCTAACAGTGTTCAATATTAAATAGCTAGTTTAAGAAGTCAAACTTTTTTTCTGAAAAACATTTTTTTTTTTTGCTGAGGCAATCTGGGTTAAGTAACTTGCCCAGGGTCACACAGCTAGTTAAGTGTCAAGTGTCTGAGGCTAGATTTGAACTCAGGTCCTCCTGACTCCAAGGCTAGAATGCTATGCACTGTGCCATCTAACTGGCCCCAAAACAAAAATTCTTAATGAAGAATTAAAAATCGTTCTCTAGGTACCTATCTACAGGCCCAAGGGATACAATATTTACTGTATCTAATAAAGCACGTGATTTTATTTTTGTTTTCAGAGTTGTTACATCATCCTATGATAAAACAATAAAGGCTTGGGATATGGAAAGAGGACAAGTTCTGGTCTGTATTGCTATTTTTCTTTTTCTTGTTCAAGAGTACCCTGCTTATCCCTAATAGGACTTTTGGTATGCCATAATGATAGCGACGTTTACTTTATTTTCATAGTAACAGAGGTATTGACCAAGCAGTCAACAAAGATTTGTTGAATATATGATAAATGCTCAGTTCTGTATTCAGCTATGTGTTGGGGGAAACAGAAATATAAGACATGTCTCTATTCTATAGGACTTGACAAGCTGAAGAGGGAGGCATGACATTCATACACGTAACAGTAAACAGTTACAATACAAAGATAGCTGCTAAGTACTATATGGTAGGACAGGTTTCAAGTGCTATACTTCAGAGGAAGAGAACAATAATAAGTCTTGGAGTGGTCAAGGAAGGCTTCGTAGAGGAGATGGCATTTGAGCTGGGTTTTAAAGGATGGGAAGAATTTAGATGAGCAAAAGGGACTAGGGAGGGAATTCCAGAAGTATGAAACCTCATGAACAACAGAATGGAGGTAGGAATGAGCAAAATATATTTATTGGACAGTGAGGAGACTGACCTAGCTAAAGTGAAACATTTGTTGAGGATTAGTGGGAAATCAAGTCTGATGGTACAAGTGGTATTATATTGTGCAGGGTTTTAAAAGTCAGGTAGAGTTTATATTTGGGAGTCAATGAGGAGGGAATATTATGATAATAATAGTGTTCAAGGAAGATGAGTTTAGCAGTCATGTGTAGAATGGATTAAAGAAGGAAAAGTCTGGAGTTTGGCAGATCAGACAGGAGGAAATCAGTGATCCTGACTTGTGTTGGTGGGGGTCCTGACCATAGCGATGGTTGGTGGTGAGAGTGAAGATCAAATGCGTATGAAGGAAACTTTGATGGAAGAATAGGCAGGATGTAGTAACTCTCTGGATGTGGCGGGGTGAGATAGAGGGAAATATGAAAGATGACTCAGGGTTGCAAACTGTGATTGGGAGGTGGTGGAACCACTGACAGAAACAGGTCATTTAATAGCAAAGATGAGTGACAATAGCCATTGTATTCTAGATAAAAGTGACTCTAGTTAGAAGTCTCAGTTTTAGCCTGTAAAAAATAACTTAAAAAAATATACTATTTGAGGTGTGCTTTGTAAATAAGATAATTGAACAAGAGAATGAACATAAGATAATACTTCTTAACACAAATGGATCAACATCTTGTGGCTCCTGCTCAGTTCAGGTACCATGATGATTACTGTAACCAAAACCATAGATATCTGTATTATTATTTCTTTGACTTCTCTTGATGTAAGATAGTCTGACAAGAAGCTGATTGAATCTGAATACGCCTTATCTGTTCTTTTCCAGTGGTCTTTCAACCATGAAAGCATTATACTTTCATGTAAAATTTCTTATGATGGTAGATATGTGGTCTGTGGTTTGGATGTAGAAAATGCAATCTGTGTCATTGATGCAAATAACGGGAAAATCATCACATTTGTCAGAGGTAGGAGTACTTTATGCAAGGGGGTGTTTTATTCCATTATTTATTATATATATTTGCATTATATCTTGTTATTTGGTTGTTAATGAGTTTTCATTGCTGTGTATGATGAAACATTCACAAGAAGAAAAAGAAACCTGACCTCCTTTGAAGGCTGCGATGTTTATCAAGAAAAGCAAGGAAAGACAAAATTGAGACTTATTTACCTATTATACAATTGGTTCTTTTCATCCAATCATTTGTTCATTCAAACTGAAATAAGTGTCGGCATTTAATTTCTATCATGGAAGAGGTCTCCTAGCTTCTTAAAGCATTGAAAGCTCAGTCTTAATTTTGGCCTTGTTTGTTTGAGTCAACTGGTGTCATAAACATAAGACAATTTTGATATTTTTTTATCTTTTCCAAAATATAATGAATAAGTAAGAAATTCTGCTTATCTTAGAATCACCATAATTTGTAGAAATGGTTGAATACACTGTTTCAAACATCATTGTGTTGATCATCTGTACTTAACTAATAATAATGATTGCTATCATAGTAGCATTTGTTATGTTATTATAGCATTTACTAAGTTTCTTCTATGTGCCAGGCCACAGTACTAAGTATGTTACAACTACTTCATCTGATCCTCACAACAACTTGGGAGTAGGTGCTATTATTATCTTCATTTTATAGTTGAGGTCACTTGAGTCAAACAGAGGTTAAATGATTTCGCCCAAGGTCACACAGGTGTCTGAGGCTGGGTATGAACTGAGGCTTTCCCAATGACAAACCTGGCACTCTATTTATTGTACCACCTAATTGCCTATTTCTGTAGATCTTTAACCTCACCGATGTGGGTATTCCCATGATAAGAATCAGTACTCCTTTATACCCTTTCACCCAGATTTAGCATTGGCCAGGTTGTCTAATAAATCCTCCCCTGAGTATTCACCCAACATTTGGGGTCCTTTCTCTAGGTCTCTTGACTTTACAAGGGTTGTAGTGCAACATGTAGCCTATCCATATGTTATCTCTCACCAAAACTACCTAGGAATTTTTTTTTACCCAGTGGACTTTTTACAAGTGGACTTTTGGTTGGAGAGGGTTTGGTCTGGACACTGCTCTTTATGGAGAGTGAGAGAAAGAGAGAGAGAGAGAGAGAGAGAGAGAGAGAGAGAGAGAGAGAGAGAGAGAGAGAGAGAGAGAGAGAGAGAGAGAGAGAGAGAGAGAGAGAGAGAAACCAGGGACATCCATGTGAAGACATTGTTGGAGTAGCTGCTATGGGAGAGGGAGGGGGGAGTGAGGGAGGGATCTCATCCTAGTACAAAGAACAAAGTATAAAGTGATATTAGTACCCTCCAAATTTGGTACTTAGAGAAAAACCCCAGTTACCCCCTAGTTGCAGTTTTGTCCCATATTTTTACTACATGATTAATTTATACTGCTATACAATCTTCCAGTGTATTCTTCTAGCAGTGATTTTCTTCTATGCTATTCTTTACTGGTAATACACTATTTATGCCCATCATAAATCTCTTCATTGCTTTTTGGGTGATCTTCAATTTTAATTACTCAGAGATTGTGGCATTTCATAATTTATAGCCATACAGTGTCAGTGAAAGAATATTGATGTTAAAAAGATGTTTTCCCACAATCTCTCCAGTTATTGTTTCAAGGGAAAGCATTTAAGGATGAAACCAGATTGAGAACAAATAGAAAAAGATGGACTTGATCTGTCAAGATTTCTACAGCAAACTATTTTTTCCCATTAGATCATAATTTTAGAGTGATACAATTAGATAAAAAGTGTAATGTAGAACATTATTTTACCATTTAGGTAGTAGAACCCTTTAGGCCGTGGAAAACTCCAAATTCCTTAGCAAGACCCTTATCTGGCTGCTCAGGCTCCAGCCCTCAGATCATATCTCTGGAAACCTCCAAATTCCTTAGCAAGACCCTTATCTGGCTGCTCAGGCCACAGCCCTCAGATCATATCTCTGGAAGCCTCCACTGTGAGAAAGTTTGCAGAGCATTATCATATCTACACAGAGGGAGAAGGGTGTCCTTGACCAGCCCCAAAAAAAACCTCTTCCTCTTGCCAGACTTCAAAGATCCATCCCCCTCCCTGTCCTGTATACTCCCTATATAAACCCTAGCTCAACTCCTGATGGGGGCTGCTTGATTTGGATGTGAATATCCCTGGCAGCCGCGCGCTAATAAAGTCCACAATTTAAAATTAGCTTGGGTGGTCAACTCGTTCATTTCTCAGTATAACAAAAAGTACAAAGAAAACAAAATCCCATTGTGATAAAAAAGCATTTTATTCAGTAGGGCATAATGAAGCTTTAAAAGATCTCCTTCAAAGAAATATCTAACGTGCATATATTAAGATCACAAAAATTTTTTATAGGTCAGATAACTTTGTTCAACCATTCTCTAATAACAAATGAGACACAAAACAGGGAAACATATCATCAAAAGTATTTTCCAGATTTGTGGAGTATGTCCAGAGCAGAGCCCAAATGGAGAATGAATTTCCTTTAGATGATAAAGCCTTTAGGTGCTCTTTCATTAGATTGTATGCTGACTGTAAGCTCCCTGAGAGCAGGCATGGTTTCATTATTTGTTCTTGTATCTCATTTAACATTGTGTTATACATAAAATAGGTGATTAGTAAATGTTTATTGATTGATGGATTGATTGATAGATTTCAATATTGTGGAACTTCCCAAATGAGATCCATAGTGACTCAAAAGAATTTGAACTAAAAATCAACACAGGAAAACATAGGTGGGTAAATATGATAGATCTTGGACATACACCACATATGGACAGAGGTAACTTGAGTCAAACAGAGGTTAAATGATTTTGCCCAAGAAAAGAAAAAGAGTGATAGAACCTGGAGTTTTTTTTTATTTTTTCTAGCACTAGTTTAGTGTCTTAAACATACAGAATGCTTATGAAATGTTTGCTTAATTGAATTGAAGTTAGACTTGAAAGGGAATATAAGAAGTCCTTGGAGGAAATGTAGTTAGCACAAAGAGTTTATAGTTAGATTTTCTCCCCCAAAGATATCAAAGTTAATATGTTACAAGTCTTAATAAATATTGGTTAAATGAAAAAAAAACCACTTTGGGGGAGGGACTTTGGTTCTTGACCCATTTATTTATCTCCCAACCCAGTTTATGAACTCACAGAAGAAAGAAGGTAACAGAAAGAGGCATATAAGGTATGTCTGCCCATGTTACTGATGGAATTAGAGGGGTAGCTTTCCATTGACTGGCAGAAGATTGGCTGCGTTCCTGGTGGCCCTAAAAGGAAGCTTATAAGCACTGAGACTACAGTTTAAGAATCAATCAAGGGGCAGCTGGGTGGCACAGTGGATAGAGCACAGGCCCTGAAGTCAGGAGGACCTGATTTCAAATTCAGCCTCAGACCAAACACTTGACATGTACTAACTGTGTGACCTTGTGCAAGTCACTTAAGCCCGATTGCCTCACTAACCCACCCCCAAAAAAGAATCAATCAACAAGCATGTGTTAAGTGCCTACTAAGTTCACTTAATAAGCAGCTAGGTGACTCAGAGGATAGAGAGCTGGGCCTGGAGTCAGGAAGATCTGAATTCAAATCTGGCTTCCGACACTTACTAGCTGTGTGACCCTGGGTAAATCACTTAATCTTGGTTTGCCTTAATCCACTGGATTAAGAGAAGGAAAAGGCAAACCACTCCAGTGTTTTTGCCAAGAAAATCCCATGGACAGTATGACCCAAAGGGCCATCGATAGTAGGACATGAGTGAATAACAAATGCTAGACCCAGGAATACAATAAAATGAAACAATCTCTATTGCCAAAGAGCTTACATTATAATGAGGGAAGCCAACAAGTATAAATAAGAATACATGCAGCATAAATACAAAGACAGTAAGTTAAAAAAAAAAGCAGTCCTGGAGAGGCCACCATCAGTTTCAGGAGGGGGAGGAATCAGAGAAGACTTCTTCTAGAAGGTGGTACTTGGGTTGTATGTTGAAGGAAGAGAGGAATTCTGTGAGGTAGAGGAGAGACGTGAAGTGAGTGCTTCCCAGGCACGAGATGGGACTAGGGCAGTGTGATACAGAAGGAACAAACAGAAGGCCAGTTTGGTAATGTTTGGTGAGGCTGGATAGATAGATTGGAATCAGGTTGTGAAGGGCTTTCAAAGCTTTACAGAGAAGTTTATATTTTATCCTAGAGGCAATCGAGAGCCCATTGGAGTTGTCTGAGGGAAAGAGTGCTATAGCCACATCTGTGTTTAAGGAATATTATTTTAGCAACACCATGTAGGGTCAACTGGAGTGGTGAGAGACTTGAGGATGAGCATTATTAGGAGGCTGTTGTGATAATCCAGGTGAGAGGTGTTGAGGGCTTGAACTAAGATGGTAGCTGAATGAGTGGAGAAAAGGGGTCAAAGGTAAGGAATGTTGTATAGGTAGATGTGGCAAGATTTAACATTAGTTGGAGATGTGAGGTGAGGGAAAATGAAAATCAAGAATAATGCTGAAATTACAAACTTGGGAGACTGAAAGGATGGTGGTGCCTTTGACAGAATCAGGAACATTTGGAAGGGGGGAGGATTTGTGGTGAAAGATAGTGAGTTCAGCTTTGGACATGCTAAGTTTGAGATGTCTGAGACATTTGGTTTGAAGTCCTAAAAGCAGTTGGTGGTGTGGGACGGAAGTTCAGAGCAGAGATTGGGACAGAATATCTCTATCTATAGATATAGGTTTAGATATAATAGACCTGAATCATCTTCATAGAGATGATAGGTAAATCTGTAGGAAATTATGAGGTTATCAAGAGCATCTTTTATCTCTCATTCTTGCTATATGAACAGCCTATCTCCTTTCCTGGTCACAGATTTCATGACTGGTATTGCCTGCACGACACTTATGCAGAATTCTTCACTGGTAACATACTGTACCCACCATGTGTTTCTTTATGACTCTTTGGTTGGACTACAACTTTAATTCTTTTGAGATTGTGGCATCCCATGAATTGGCAACCATCTGGCACCACCAGAACAATATTGTTGTTTAAAAAAAAATATGGGATCATGAAGGCAAAAAGGAAAGTATTTGCTCTTAAGGAGCTTACATTCCGCAAACCCTAGGCAAAAATTGGTACTTTTTCTTTCATCTCAACTGCTTAACTAAAGCTCTCTTGCTCTCCAAGATGCAAATCAAACTTATTTGGCATCTTTTCTTGCAATTAAAAGGTTTGAGGGCCATGGTTCTAGAGTTAGAAGACCTGAGTTCAATTCCCACTTCCAACACTACTTTTGGGACCCTGAGCTTCACTTTCTTTACCAGTTAATTGAAGGGATTGGACTGGTTGGCTTCTGAGGCCCCCTCCAGCTCTACATTAATGATCCAGTAATCATGGGGGGAGCTAGGAGTGGGAACAAAAACATGCTAACCTCAACTACTTCTGTCATTCTTAGAGGTCTCATGCCTTTTCTTCTTTTAAATGCATTTAAACATAAGAAAACAGCTTTAAAACACAATTATACTGATGAATAATAATTTCTCTTTCAGGTACAATTTTTAAAAGGTTTTGCATGGCTCAGGTTTGCATTTGGGTATATTTTTTTCCTGATGCCTAACACCATAGGCTAGGTAAGGCTAATTGTTTTAAAAAAAAGTTTTCTCTGCAACAGGGATATTTACTGAGTTCAACCTTGTATTTGCTTGTTTGGTATAGTTCCTGTTTGCAAATGGTTTTTTTCTTCTTTTTTTTTCTGGCTCTTAACAACCTTTTCCTGAGCAACCTGTTCTCTCATTTCATCTAGATATGTACGTATGGATTAGCAAAGTTGGCATGACACTTTGTGTAACAGGACCAAGAACATATTTTCAAAGTATTAGGCAGCTGGATGACACAACATTGAACTTAGATTTGGAATGGCTTGAGTTTGAATCCTACCCCAGACACTTGCTAGTTGTCTTGCCCTGAACAAGTCACTTAACCTCTCTCAGTCTCACTTTCCTAATTGTAAAATGAGGCTAATAGCACATAACTAAAAGGGTTGTTGTGAGGATCAAATGAGATACATATGTAAATGCTTTGTAAATCTTAAAGCACTAACCAAGTGCCTACTACTATTATTGAAAGTCACTCAGATTAGTGTAACTACTATGTGCAACTTATCTGACAAAATAAGATAAACTTGAAATGTATTTCAGAAGGTAATTTTTTCTCTTGTCTTAGCTCACCATAGTAGACCAGTAACCAGCTGTTGTTTTAATCCTGACAACCTGCGGGTGGCTTCAGGATCGTCTGATCATAATGTGAAGATTTGGGATGTGTCCGCTCAAGCCACACTTCTAACAATTCATGAGTAAGAAATAATCCATCAATTAACCAGTCAACAAGCATTTGTTAATCAACAATAAACAATAAATAATAGTATAGCATAGTAGGTAGAGAGGGACCTCAGAGCCTGTATTCATGTTCCACCTCTGACATGTTAGCTGTGTAGTGTAACCTCAGTTACATTAGGCAGTTCTCAAAGATTTTAAGTTGCAGAGCAGGTATTGATCTACATAGGTGGAGGGAGCTTCCTTACCTGGGAATTCTCAATGCCAATGACATTAAAGGTCCAGTCTCAGTCCTCAATCCCAGTTGTACTAAAAGCGAAATAAGCGGGAAGAAAGCCCACTTCTCTGTGGACCTCAGTTTCCTCTTCTGTAAAATGAGTAGATCTCTTAAGGTCTCTTCCAACTCTAGTTCCTCTTATTTGTGCCTATTAACTCAGATGAATTTGAAATAGCAATTCAAGGGGAAAATGAATGAATTATCCCAGCCAGGGAGAAGTATCACAGGTTCTGATAGCCCTTTTAGAACAGATCACATAAACCCCCAGTACAGGAGGAGAACAAGTAACTGGTTACTAGTACTTGCTACTGTCCCTGTCGTAGACCCCTGCTAACTGAGGAATGCAATTATTGACTAAACATTGTGCGCCAGTGTATCAGATACAACCTTACCACAGATGTTTGTATTTGACGCCAGGCAGGATGGTGTATTTCAATGCCAGAATCCCAGAATTTCAGAGCTGAAAGGGACCTTAGTGATCATTTAGTACAATTTCTATGTGCAACGTGTGCTCATCCAGTCTTTTCTTGAAGACCTTCAGAGAGCAGGAACCCGTTATCTCCTGAAGCAGTCCATTCTACTTCTGTGTAGCTTTCATTTTCAGAAAGTATCTCCTTAAATTATGCAAAAGTTTGCCTCTTTGTGAACTTGCATATATTGTTCTGAGTGCAACCTTCTGGAGACAAGCAGAACAAGTCTCAGCTCACTTCTGAGTGACATTCCTGCTGGAAGTTATCTATCACATTTTCAACTAAGTCTTTTCTTCTTCAGGCTAAATAATCTCAGTTCCTTTAATTGATCCTCATATGGCATGAATTTGATTCACTGATTACCCTACATTATATCTTCTCCATCCTACCGATGTTCTTAAAATGTGACTCCCACAGCTGATAAAATACTCTAGACCAGGGCAGAATATAGCAGGACTTATTTCCTTGTTCATGGACACTATGCCTCTCAATGTAGTACTTCCAGGAGGTCTTTTTTTTGCTTCCATATTACTACAAAACAAGGCCATTCTAAGAGTTTTCTCCTCTTCCTTCCTTCTAAGCTCATCACTAATGTCTTTTCCCACTATCTTTCTTCTTTCATTCTGTCTCTGATGAGAGACGGTCCTTCACTTTGCCAAGGCCAAATCCTCTCCGTCTACCTTTTATCCCATACCCTTGCCTTTTTTTCTATCAGACCTGTTATAACCCCCATTCTCTTTTTTATTTTCAATCTCTCCCTACATATTGGCTCTTCTGGGCTCCCTACATATGCCATGTCTCCCTCATCCTTTAAAAAACCTCTAATTTGATCCTACCATCCTTGATAACTATTGTCTTACATGCAGGGGTATACTGATAAATATTTAACAACTGGTTCTCCAGGAAAAGAAAAGGTATTCATGATATACTTTTAAGTTTAATTTACATTATTAACATTTTCTCCACCGCTTTCTTAAGTCTATAAATTAGCAAAACAATTCATTAAGCCTTGATGTGGCATTTGCTAATTTTCAAGGTGTAAATACACTGAAAATTTAACAATTGGTTCTCACAAGCCAGTGTAAGTTGGAGCCAGCACACTTCTGCTATACCTCTCCTCTCCTTCTTAGCTAAACTCCTGGAGAAAGTTGTCTACAATAGGAGCTCCCATTTCCTCACCTCTCACTCATTTCTAGACTCTCTTCAATCTGGCTTCCAATCTCATCATTCAACTGAAAGTACTCTCAGCAAGTTATCAGTGACTTCTTAATCCCCAAATCCAAAGGCCTTTCTCCCCACTCATGTTGCCACAACTAATACAGGGCCTCCTTGCCTCTTGTCCTGACTATTTAATAAATCTTCTAATTGGCTTCTCTGCCTCCAGTTTCTCCCTCCTTGGATCCATGCTCACCATTCAGCTCCAAAGTGTTTTTCCTTAAGCACAGGTGTGACGCGTCATCCTGCTACTCTGTAAATTCCAGTGATTCCCTATTACCTCCATGGTCAAATCTAAAGCTCTTTTTGGCATTTAAAGCCCTTCACAACCTGGCTGCTTTCCCGTCTTTTTACACTTTACTTCACATACTCTAAGATCCCCCTACATTGTCCCACTTGTAGTTGTTCCTCTATGACAATCCAGCTTCAAACTCTGTGACTTTGTATTGGTTGCCCTTCTTCTCCCCATACCTAGAGTCCTTGCCCCCTCATCTCTCCCTCTTAGTTTCCTTGGCTCAGATCCCAACCACAGGAGGTCTTGCCTGGTCCCCATCCCTACCCTACTGCTAGTCTCTTACCTCTGAGATTACCTCCCACTACTCTGTATATATATTGTGTGTATAAAGTTATTTACATATGTCTCCCTAGTTAGAAGGTGAGCTCCTGGAGGCAGGGACAGTGTTTTGGCCTTTTTTTTTTTGTATCCCCATTGCTTAGTGAAATGCTTGATGCATAATAAGTGCCTGTTGATTGCTTGATGCTGTTCGTTCACATGGAGCTGGCAATCCACTACAACCCCCAGATAGTTTTCAGATTATCTACTGTTTCGGGACAACTCCTCTATTTTGTACTTGTGAAGATGATTTTTTGAGCCTAAGAGTAAGACTAAACATTCCTCTCTATTAAATTTTATCTTATTCTGTCTAATATTCTAGCCTGTTGGAATCTTTTTTTTATCCTGATGCTAACCAAATAGAATCTAATAATCCAATGTATTAGCTGTTCCTTCATTTATGTTATCTTAATTTTTTAAAAATAAGTTTTTATTGATATTTTCTGTTTCATACATCACCATAGTTATCCCATGTGTCCCTTCCTCTCCCCTTCCCAGAGAGTCATCCCATAGGAAAAAAAAGAATTTTAGAGAGGAAAAAAAAAGACATCACAACTGATCCATGCATTGAAAAAGTCTGAAAACACCCATGGCCCCTTCCACCTCCATGAAGGAGTAGGTTGGAGGTATCTTTTTCATATCTCTTCATTTCAGTCCTGCTTGATCTTTATAATTTTGTTACATTTACTTTTGATTTTTTGATGTGCAGTTGTTTTTTCCATTTACCTTGATGTAGTTCTGTATATATTATTTTCCTGACTCAGCTTGCTTCACTCAGCCATCACTTCATATAGATCTTTCCATGCTTTTCTTTGTATAACATACACACTATTTCTTATTGGACAGTCATATTCCATTAAATTCTTGTACCACAATTTGTTTGTCCATTCCCCATTTGATGGACATCTACCTTGTTCCCAATTCTTAGCTTTCACAAAAAGTATTGCTACAAATATTTTAGAATATATGGGGATTTTTTTTTCTTATCAATGGGTTCCTTTGGAGTATAAGCCCAGTAATAGAGTTTCTGGTTCAAAAGGTATTGGCATTTTAATCACTTTATTTGAATAATTCCAAATTGCTTTCCAAAGTGGTTGTACCATTTCACAGGTCCACCAACAATGTATTAGTGTGCCTATCTTTCTACAACCCCATTTTTGCCAATTTTCATTAGGTGAAATGATTTGTATTTCTTTTGTTCTTAGTGCTTTGGAGCATTTTTTCATGTGGTTATAAATACTTTGCAGTTCTTTTGAGAACTGTTTCTTCATATCCTTTGACTATTTATCTATTTGATACAAAGACTTTTTCCCACTTGGCCACTTTCCTTCCTATCCTAGATGCATTAATGTTGTCTATGGTGAAACTTTTCAGTTTCAAGTAATCAAAGTTGTCTGTTTTATGTTTTGTGATTGCTTCTATCTCTTGTTTGGTTAAGAATACAACTCCTACACATACCTGTGAGATGCATATGCTCTGTTGGTCTTCTAATTGTTTTATAGTATGATCTATATTATTAAGGTTGTGTATCCATTTAGAATGCTTTGTGGAGTGTGGTCTAAGCTGTTAGTCTAAGCCTAATTTCTGCCAGATCACTTTTCAGTTTTTCCAGCAGTTTTTTGTTTTATCAAATAGGGAGTTTTTGCCTAGGTAATTTATGTTTTCCGCTTTATGAAACACTAGGTTACTGAATTCTATTGTTTTTGAATCTCCCTTGTCTGGTCGGTTCCATTAATGTATCTTTCTGTTCCTGAACCAGTATCAGATAGCTTTGCTGACTGATGCTTTATAATATAATTTGAGGCTTGAAAGGGCTAGTCCACCTTTGTCCTTACTTCTCTTCAACCATTTCCCTTGATAGTTTACATCTTTTGTTTTTCTGAATGAATTTTGCCATTATTTTGTCACCTTAAAATTTGATAATCATACCATCTATGTCTTTATTCAAATAGCTGATTAAAATGTTACAGAACACAAGTTCAAACACAGCTCTCTGGGGCACTCCAGTAGACACCTCTTTCCAAGTTGATTTGGAACTCTTAATGACTATTTTTTGTAGTCATAAAGACTACATAGTCTGGTTTGGCCATCCAATCACTTCCAAATCCATTTAATTGTACTGTAGTGTTAACATCAATAATAATGATACCTATCATTTATATAGCATTTTAAGGTTTACAAAATACTTTACATATATTATCTCACTTTACTCTCAAAACAACTCTGAGGGCAGCTAGGTGGCACAGTAGATAGAATACCAGCCCTAAAATCAGGAGGACCTGAGTTCAAATCTAACCTCAGATACTTGACACTTACTAGGTATGTGGCCCTGGGCAAGTCACTAAACCCAGCTTGCCTTATTAAAAAAAAAAGAAAACAACTCTGAGGAAGGTACCATACTTATCACCATTTTATGGATGAGGAAACAGGCTGAAAGAGTTTAAGTGACTTGTCATATACTAAGTGTCTAAGGCAGAATTTGAACTCAGCTCTTCCTGATTCTAAGACAATTTTCAGGAACTGTTTTCAGACAGCTCTATCCAATACACCACCTTACTGACTCCTTAAAATTAAAAAAAGAATCAACATTTTCCACTTTTCCATGAGATTAGTATGACAGATCTTGTCAAATGCTTTGCTAAAATCTAGGTAAATTGCAACACTCCGTTTATCTACTAGTTTAGCAAGCTTCTCAAAAAAAGATGAAATAAGGTCAGTCTGGCATGACCAGTCAGTCCTCAATGAAGCCTTAGTAGTTCTGATCACCATTCTCTTTTCTAGATGTCCATTAGCTATCTCATTAATAGATGTTTGCTAGAAATCAAAGTCAAGCTTTCTAATCAAGAGTTTTCAGACCCTTCTCTTTCCCCTTTTAAAAAAATTGTTATAACATTTGCTCTCCTCCATTACTATGGTAACACTCCTATTCACCACGATTTTTCAAGGATTGCTCACAGGAGCTTAGTAATCACATTTGCTGGTTTTTTCAGTAGCTAAAGAATTCATTTAGGTGTCATGGCTTGAATTCACCAAGGTCAGTGAGGTGCTCCTTCTGCTTCTGTGCTTATCTTGACTATCAGGTCCCTGTTACCCATTTTTGTTCTGTCCTTTCTAGTCCAGAGATCATTTTCCTTGGTGGTGAAAAGAGAAGCCAATTGAATTGAACAGACCTGCTTTCTCTCTATTGTTAGTTATCAGCATCCCTTCTATTCTAAGCAGCAGGCCTATCCCTTCTTTGTCCTCATTTCTCCAATACGACTGAAAAAAAACCTTGCCTTTTTTGTCCGTCATTTTCCTCACCCTATTTCAAGTGTTAGTATGACTAGCTATGCCCTGCTGTCCTGTTTGTCCTGCTACCTATTTCTTGCTACATGTCTTTTAAAATTTAAGTTTGTTGATAATGGTTCCTTTAGTATTTATATGATTCTCTTTAGATAACTCCCCCTTTTCCTCTTAATTAGAAGAGTTATTCTTTATATTTTCAGAGTTTAGTTCCTGAAAGCTTCTCTAGCTACTCCAACCACCAATCAAGAGGCAAAAAAAAAAAAATCACACACACAAAGACAACAATAGTGTCACTAAAATTTATGTTAAGAAGCAATAAAACTCAGGGGCACCATGCTATTAGATTAAAGGGCTCATCCTTCCTATAAAGTTTAGTAAAGTACAAAAGTGGAAAGTGGCACATATTTGTTGTTCAGTCATTCAGTCATATCTGACCCTTTGGGATCCCATGGACTGTACTGTCCATGGAGATTTCTTGGCAAAGATACTGGAGTAGTTTGCCATTTTCTTCTCCAGTGGAAAACGGAGGTTAAGTGACTTTCCTGGGTCATACAGCTAGTAAGTATCTGAGACTGGATTTGAATTCAAGTCTTCTTGACTGCAGGCCTAATGTTCTTCACTGGACCACCTAGTTGCTATTAAACAATTTAGCCGAACTGTTTTCAGGAAATGTACTTTGTAGGGAGTTTGGGTATTTGTTGAGAATTGTCTTGTGTATCTCTCTCTCTCTCTCTCTCTCTCTCTCTCTCTCTCTCTCTCTCTGTATCTCAGTAAATTTTAAAAAAGAAAGAGATTAGAAATTTATTTAGGAACGGCTACTCTATCTTCTTTTTTAATGACAACGAGTACAGATTCGTTTCCTGTGAAGATGCTTATAATCCCTTATGTATATAGTACAGATTTTAGGGATTGTTCATATCCTGCCAGGTCCTGGAACTTTGAGGTTTTGTCTAACACTGTTTGCAAAATTGAATTTATTGTAGAGTTAACTAGTCTTTTCTTTTGGCCTTGTCTAGTTTGTGCATTTCAAAAGGCTATTTCAGGGGGGATAAAAAGGCAAAACCAGACATTGTGTTCTAGAAACCAGTTTTTGTTTACTCTTTTCTTCTGATGAACAGTGCTGAGTTTTACAGAATTCAGAGGTTGTAATTATGTTTAATGGTTCATTTGAAAAGTCTATTTAGGGCAGCAATGGAGAGCCTCTTAAAGCCCATGTCCTCCATCTATCCTCTCCCCAACAAAACACCTTGCGTCAAGGCCCATACACAAATAAAAGGCAATTTAATTTAGTTTTCTTTCCCCAGAGACATATTTTAAAAGTGAATATTATGGACACTTGAGCAGGGAAGGAGATATAGGACATGGGGGAAAGGGAATAAGAGGGAAAGATGTAGGGAGAGCAAAATAGGTAGAGGGCACAGAGAAAAAAGTCAAAGTTAGAGATACAGGCACAAAAAATATGCTTGGTATGTATCTAGCATGCATTTATCATTTTTTAGTTTATAATATAGTTATTTATGAACTTGTTAATCCTATCCCACCCCACCCCTACCTAAAGTACACCTAGATCACAATTCACTTGAGTTTGAATAACGTAAAATTCAATTTAGGTGTGAATTATGAAATTATATCAGGTCACATTTGATATAAACCAAAATTGGATTCATGAGAGTCATTTGAGTTAGCTAAGGGTTTTTTTTTTAACACAACACTGCTTTGTCTGTGTGCATTTGTTTATCATTAACCATAGATATGATATTCTGTTGTGTTACATTTTTCTTAAAAGCGTCCTTAACAAAATGGACAAAAGGAAGAATATTCCAGATGGAAACACCTGCAGCACAAAAGAAGAGGTTCTTTATTACACTAGAACACAAATTTGATATAATTTAATGCATGAATGGGGTTATAACTTCTAAAACAAGACAACATGTCAGGATGCCTGAATCTATATTATGGAATCTCCTAAAACACAAAGGCTAAAAGAAAAAGGCAAAATTGCATCAGCTTTTGTGGTTTGCAAATAACTGCAGGGAAGAGAAGCATCACAATTATAGAAAGGGATGGATTGAAGACATCAATTAAAAACAGGTTGCACTTTACAGAGGGGCCATTTAGACAAAAGCTTCAACTTTATTTAAGGCAATGAAAGAAAAATGGAAGTGAAGTGTCTAGTGAAGAAACTTTTATTGCAAGTGTTGGTTGGTTCAATCATTTTCAAAATTGAGTTTAATTGCATCATGTTAAAATTATCAGAGAGGCAACCAGTGCCTATGAAGGAAGACATGGCAGCTAAATATTCTGACATTTTGAAGAAAATAATCAAAGAAGGTAGATATATTGATTAACAAATTTTTAATGTGGATGTAACACATTTATTCTGGAAAAGGATGCCTTCTAGAATATACATTTTTAGAAAGAAAAAAAAACTCAGCATGTATTTAAAGTGTCTAAGAATCACCTTATCCTTTTATTGGGAGCTAATGTTGAAAGGTATTTTAAATGAAAACTAATACTTGTTTATTGGTCTCAAAATCCTTGCACTGTGAGTCTACAACCATCAATTGTTTCTAGTTCTTTGTTGGGCAAATAAGAAACTGTGGGTGACTAATGTTGTTACCAAAGATTGATTTTCAAGTTGTTTTAGCCCAGCTATTGAAAAATATTGCAAGGCAACAATATCACATATTTAAAACATTGCTGATTTTAGATAATGTCCCAGATTATCTCTCAATACTTTGTTCATTGTGTGAGAATATGAAAACACAAATTTGCTGAGATGTGTGGATAAAGCTTTCTGTATCTACCAGCATATGTATGGAGATTTAAAGGGAAGACAATTCAATCTACACTGTAAAATATTTTAAATAACAATAATGATGTTTTCTGCAAATTATATCAATGTAGGGCTTATCTTTAAGTACCACATTCAGTAATTTTTTAATTTTTAAAGTTTTTCTTTCTATAACTTCTCTATTACTTTGTAATAAATTTGCATTAGAAATATATTTTTTCTTATCTTTTGTTCTTATGTTAATAAACAGATAATGAACTTACTTAAAATTTTATTTGCATATCTCTATTGGGCTGGAACCAATTACTGTATTTTATTAATGTAACCACTTTGCAGAATTTATTATTCATACTAATCAGGACCTGGATGCATATATTCCTTAAAGGGAGGGTTTTGTTTGTTGTTCAGTCATATCCGATTTTCCATGACTCCGTGGACCATACTGGCCGTGGGGTTATCTTGGCAAAGATACTGGAGTGGTTTGCCATTTTCTTCTCCAATGGATTAAAGTAAACAGAAGTTACATGATTTGCCTAGTGTCATGCAGATAGTAAGTGTCTGAGGCTAGATTTGAATTCAGTTCTTCCTGACTCTAGGCCCAGCTCTTTGTCCACTGAGCCATCTGGCTGCCCCTGAGCCATCTAAGGGGCCAAAGGGAGGGACCATCTCTTATTTATTTTTGTATCTTCAGTTCCATGGATATTGCTTTACACATAGTAGGTACTAATAAATGTTGAAGATTGCTATTTACATATATGTAACAATTGAAGGACAGGGAGAGATGAAGAGAGAAAAGGAGGAAGGGTTCAGTAGGTTCTGAAACAACTTACCAGTTAATTCTTCACAGGTTTTCACTGCTCTTTGTCTGTAGATCTTCAGAAATGTGATAGTCCAGAGTGAGGACACCAGTGAGGACCAAAGTAATTTTCCTTGAGCACAGATCTGATCTTATGACTGTTCTGCTTGACTAACTCCAGTGCCTTCCTAATGCCTCTAGGATTATGTATCTATGTGTATGTATGTGTATATATATATGTCTATGAAAAATATTGAATATATTAAAACAGTAAAAGTTAAATTAAAAATAAAACTATACATACAGGTATATACCATGTACATATGTAGGAATACATATACATAGTAGGCACTTGATGACTGAATGACTGAAATTGTTTTCCAGAGTCTCAATGACCCTTGGATTGGAATAGCAAAAGAACTTTAACCAGAATAGAATAATGCTCATCGTCCGTCTGTTTCACATGCGTTTCAGAGCACATTCCAATGTTATTGCGGATTGCTGTTTTACCTTCAGTGGCCATTTCTTGTGTACAGCTGCTTGGGACAAAACCTTAAAAATCTGGGATGTAAATGCTGGAGGGTTTCGAAGTGAGGGAGCCTGTGTAACTCTGATGGAAGGTCATGAAGGTTCTGTCAGTTCCTGTCTTTTTACCAGAGATGGTAAGCTATTTACATGATTTCAGATTCAGTATTACAGTGAAAATGCTTTTTAATATTCTATAAATACACAAGTTCTTTGGTACAGTTATACATAACACAATGTTAACCATCCTTGAGAGGATCTAACTCTTTAATAACTCTGTTATCGATAATAAACAAGGATGATGATTTTCCACAAGGACAATAGAGAGCATCTACATAACATGAGACAAAGGAGCTAAGAGGGAGGGTCATATACGTATGTAATCTTGCAATTGAAAATTGCAGATTTCCCATATCCCTCCTTTTTTCTCTACCAGTTGCCACCAGTCTGGTTCAAGACCTCATCACTTCTCACCTGAACTATTGCAGTAGCCTCTGACTTGATCTCCCTGCATCAATTCTCTCCATTCTCCAGCCCATTATCCATACAGTTGTCAAATTAGTATTCTCCAAACATAGAGCTAGCCATATTAATCCCCTGCTCAATAAGCCCTGCTCCCCCCCACATAGAATAAAATAAAAGCTGTTCTATTTGGCATTAAAAACCCTCTACACTCTCCTTTCAGCCTATTTTTCTAGACTTGTTGCATATTACTTCCCAACATGAACTGTGTCTTAGTCAAACTGGCCTACTTGCTGCCTGCTATATACAATGGTTTTTTGGATAGACGATCTTCCATTTATGGAATTTTCTCCCTTCCCATCTCTGCCTCTTGGATTCCCTAGCTCTCCTCAGGCATAGCTTAAGTCACATCTCCTATAAAAGGTTTCTCTTGGTACACCTAGTTGTTTGTGTTCCCATTTCTCTGGAAATTATTTTGTATTTACTTATCTGGGTATGTGTTGCATGCCGCCAGAAGAATGTAGGGACTATTTATTTGGCTTTTGTTTTTGTATCTTTAGCACCTAGCCCAATGTTTTATACATGTTAAAGTGCTTAATAAATGCTTATTAAATTGAATTGAATTGAAAATGAGCTAGCAAATACAGTTCAGCCCATGACCCACTCTCCCATATGTAGGCTCCCTGTCAACTCTCCCTCATTCAGGATGTGTATTGTTGGGTCGGCCTCCACTCAAACCAAGAGCTTACCAGCCCACACTGATGTTCCATTTGTCAGGCTAACAAGAGGATATGTAGTTCAAAGCAAAAGACATTTAACTAAAATATAGTGCTTAAAAAAAAAAAGACAATTTCCATAAAACACATAAGGGTGTATACTCCTGCAGATTCCCATACATCTGGTGAGAATAAGTATGCACATAAGGAACATTTGTGGGAAAGGGAACATGTACAGAGAGTGTACATGTGGCCAAGGACTATATGTAAATGATGGGGGCGGGGCCCAAGCCAAGATCTTCGCCTCTTGCCCCAAAGGGAATCTGGCTCCCTTTTGTCTGAGCCGCAGAAAGGCCTTACTCTGGTCTCAAACGGTTCCTTATCGACTCCCCTTATCTCCCTTTGAAAGTCCTAGCCCCACCCTTTGATCTTGTGCAGATGCCTTTCAAACTTCTGCCTTCCAGTTCCCTCCCTCGGCTATTCCCATTGTCTATTCAATCTCTCAGACCTCCCCAATTAGAATTCTTACCTAGACCCTTTTCCCCACCCCCTTCTCTGGCCACCCAAAGTTACTTTAGTATTTAAGATCCACCTTGGCCCCCATTCAGAGGCTGAGAACCTCTCTTGCCCGCTCGTCTTTATGGGCGTCACCTGGCTGAGAATCTCTCGTGCCCCAAAGGCTGAGCTTTTCTCATGCCTGCCTGTCCTTACGGGCGTCACCTGGCCTATGTGATTTATCATTAATAAACTTTTCCTCTGGCTGAAGAAGATTTGAGTTGAATTCACTCAGCAGGGCCTGGTACCTCGATTTTGGGTTTGCAGCACCCCAAAAATCCTAGACCTCTTCATAAAGAGGGCACACGTAAAGAATATATATGGCGTGGAAGCATGTGTGGCCAAAGCAACTAGAATTCCTAGGGAATGACAACAACAACAATTAACATTTATTTATATAATGCTTACTGTGCCAAGTGCTTTACAATTATTATCTCATTTGATCTTGAAACAATCCTGGGAGGTAGGTGTTATTATTATCCTCATATTTTTACAGATAAGGAAACTGAGGCAGACAGGTTAAGTGACTCACCCAGCATCACCCAGGTAGTAAGTGTCCGAGACTGGATTTGAACTCAGGTCTTCCTGATAGCAGGCCCAGTGCTGTGGCCATTGAACCACCAACCTGCCCCAACATTAATTATGCCCAGTATTCCTTCTGAGTTGCTTCTCTTGCCTGGTGCTACTTTCCCTGCAAAGCCACCAATAATCACAGCTGATCTGGTGATGTGTTGTAGCTGCAGGATGCTAGTAGGTAGGCTGGTTGGACTTGCGGTCATCTAAAGGCATGTTTCTACTAGGCGGCTCTCAGCTTCCATCTGCTGGTCTTCTCATGAATTGCAGTTGCTACCCAGCCTCTCCCACCCATGAAGGAGAAGCCATTGGGCTATTCCAGTTGTGATTTGAATTCAGGCCCACAGCCTCAGCAGCCAGGCAACAGAAGATCTTACTCAAATTAAATGTGTTTTTTTGAACCCCTTTTGAGTCTGTTTCTGTCTTAGAACCCAGTCTCAGAACCCAGTATACCATTTGACTTAAGGTGATTAAATTCCTTTCACCTTGTGTAAATTCCCAAGGGCTCACCAACATAGAAAGAGGATGGCAACACATCGTCCAGCCTTTCTGCCAGCAACAAAACCACTGCCTTCCCTGTAATAATATTAGGAAATTAGGCCAAAATACCTTTCATGCATAATAAATAGAAGGTTATTCTTTTTAGATACAATTAGAACATGTTCTAGGTTTGGGCTATAAAGCAGAATTCAAACATGTTTCTTCTGGTGTGAATAATGTCTTTAAATTAAATAGTGGAATTCCAGTGATCATTACTACAATTTTGGAGGTAATATAGGGATGAAAATCGAAGTAATTAGATCACTACTTCAAATACATTTTCTTAAACAGAGTTCATTCATTCAATAGCCATTTTTAAGAGTCTCCTATTTAGTAAATACTATGCTAGGTACTGAGGAAGATGAGAAAGTTAGGTAAGATTCAGTACCGGATCTTATGGAATTCAGAGTCTAGAAGGGAGATGAGACACAAACACAAATTATAATAATACATACCATTTCCATGCATCTGCTAGAGAGTTACCAAAGCGCTATGTGAAATTCCAAGCAAAGGTCATTATGAATTACTGTAATGTGGCACATTTCCATCTCCCTTAATTCTAGGTACATAGATTTACAAGCAAGGAATACGTTAGAAAATAACAATTGCTTAATGAAATTTTCTGAAAACTGGTGTTCAAATGTTATCCTCATTGATCAAATTTCTTTTGCTCATAATTATGGTTGTAGTTTCTCTTGATCAGAGATTGATTAGAGAAGCTTTTCAGGAAAGACTTCCTCCCATTTGTTAGGTGCCAAGAAACATATCACAGATCATCATAAAGCTTCTGCAGAAGCCCCAGTGACTCATAGATTCTCAGCTACTACATGCACAATCTTTGTCAGTTAAAAAAAAAAAAGAAAAGAATGGAGGTACAAATAAATTAGCTTAGATTTCCAAGAATTAGAAAAGGCTAAGGACTGGGTTAATATCTTACTTAAAATAAGATATTAAATCTTCAAAGTCAGAACTTTCTTCCCAGTGCTTTTTAACTATGTCCTCTATTGTCATGTTAATAGAGATGTGAATCATTTAGCCAAACCAGACAGGGGTTTTCAACATCTTTTTGAAGTGTGACTAATAAGAGCCTGTCATTAAAGGTCACTCAGCTAGTTTGACTGACTAGAGGAGATTACTCCATGAAAAAGCCCATGAATTTCCAATTTTGTGTTTCAGCCTCACTTATTGTATCTGGAGCATATGACAAAATGGTAACAGTCTGGGATGTGGCCGGAGGATATAAAAAGTGTACATTAAAGGTATTGATTTACTGATACGAGGTAGAAAGAAGCCATGTACAAATGACTATTGATGGATTAAGAAACTGAAGCAGGATTTCAGGATTAAAATACTGGAATCTGATTATAGTTTGAATTGTGTCCCATGGGTACTCAGTTTCTCCATCTGCAAAATGAGGGAGATGAGCTACAATAAAAGCCGGTTTTTCTCTACAATACATGTAGTTGGTTTAAATATGCCCAGGCTAATTTCTGGTTCATAAGTGTATTACTAGCCAACCATCTGCCAACATTTATTGAATGACAGGTGCTCTAGGGGATATAAAGAAGAGTCAGACACAGTCCCTCTCCTCACTGAGCTCACAGTATAGTATACAAAGACAAGGATCTAGTGTATAAGATACAAGGACACGAAGAGTTACAGAGGGGCAATTGCCAGATGAGAGGTACAAAGAGTACAATTCAATTCAGCAAAACTTTTGAAGCACTTAACCTGTGCCAGATCCTGAGGATGGAAAGATGAAAGCAGATGCAATCCTTTCTCTCCTGAAACTTACTATTTAATAGGGAAGGTGTTACAAGTACACAAATAAGGATGATACCAGTTAGAATGAAATAAGGGGAAAGAACATAGTGCTTTTGGAAAATTTGAGGAGGAAGAGTTCTTTTCTAGCTTGGGGGTAAAGGTCGAGGGAAAGGATGTGAAAGGATATGAAACCTGAATCCCTTGAAGGAAGGGAGAGATTTCAAAGACAGTAAGTAAATAATAGGACCTGAACTGGTCTTTAAAGGATGTTGAACATTCAATTAAACAGAGGAGAGGGAAGAAGACATTCCAGGTGGGGCAATGGCATGAGCAGAGGCAAATAGCAAGAAAGTAGCTGAGGAGATTGGTTTGGTTATAGATGACCCAGTAGAAGATATGGCTGGAAGACTGGAGCCAGACTGCCTAAATACTATAATCCTAGGCGTTTGTTCAGATGAGTCCAGTCCTCAGAGAACAGAGCGATTGTCTCACGGTCCAGTCTTTTGCTGAAGATCAAAGAGAATGGTCTTTACTGGAAGAGTGTATTCTTTTCTGAGATTCAGTACCTGTACACGTTCATCAGGGCTGGGCTGTTAGTGTCCTTAGGAAGCAAACTGCCTGACTGGCAGCTAAACTTGGGAATTCTCTGCACATTGTGTACTTCTCTTTATTCAGTCTGAGCCCAACTTTGCACAACCTGAAAGCACTTCAGACTTGGAGCTAAGTCCTGGAGCAGGAAAGTTGCATGTACAGGGATGCTTAGGAAAGTAAGATCTGTTTTTAACTCTCCCATGTGTTTCTCAGAGAGTTAAATGTTGGATTCAGTCTGATGGTACGGACGAATTATTAATTCTCCTCAAACTCAATTTTGTCATCTGTAACAACGAAGGGGTTGGACTCAGCCTCTAAAGTCCCTTCCAGCTCTAAATCTGTGATCCCAGGATCCTGTGAATTATGAAGACTAAAAGATAGTAGTATTATGTATACTTCCATAATTAATCCATCGTCAAAGCCTGACAATCAAAAGCAAAGGAACTACTTAAAGCTGGCATGAAAAATAGGCTGTTTCCCTCCATATAATCTGTAATGTAAGAAGTGAAGAAGCCTTTTAGTTTCTTTTTTTAAAAAAATTTATTTATTTTTAGTTTTCAACATTCACTTCCACAAGATTTTGAGTTCCAAATTGTCTTCCCATCTCATCCCTCCTCCCACCCCAAGAGGGCATGCACTCGGTATACCACATCCCCCTAATCTGCACTCCTTTTTATCTCTCTCCCCCTTCTTTTATCTCCTTCCCCTTCTATTTTCCTGTAGGGCAGGATAGGTTTCTATACCCCATTTCCTGTATTTCTTATTTCCTAGTTGCATGTGAAAACAATTTTTTTTAACATATGTTTTTAAAACTTTGGGTTCCAAATTTTCTTCCTTCCTCCCTCCCCACCCACCCTCATTGAAAAGGCAAGCAACTTGATACAGGTTGTATATGTGTAGTCATGCAAAAACACTTCCATAGTAGTCATGTTATGAAAAACTAAGTATATTTCCCTTTATCCTATTCTACCCCCCATTTATTCTATTCTGTTTTGACCCTGTCCCTCAGAAGTGTTTGCTTCTGATTATCCCCTCCTCCAATCTGCCCTCCCCTCTATCATCCCCCTGCTCTCTTGTCCCCTTCCCCCTTATTTTCCTGTAGAGTAAAATAGATTTCCACACCCAATTGAGTGTGTACATTATTCTCTCCTTAAGAGAATAAGATTTACTCATTCCCTCTCACCTTCCCCCTCTTCCCCTCCACTGTAAAAGCCTTTTCTTGTCTGTTTCATGTGAGATAATTTACCCCATTTTACTTCTCCCTTTCTCTGTCTCCCAGTATAATCCTCTCTTACCCCTTAATTTTATTTTCCAGATATCACCCCTTCATCTTCAACTTACCCTGTGCCCTCTATCTCTCCATCCATATATATACATACATATAATTTTTTTCCTCCAACTACCCTAATGCTGACAAAGGTCTTATGAGTTACAAATATCATCTTTCCATGTAGGAATGTAAACAGTTCAACCTTAATAAGTCTCTTTTGATTTCTCTTTCTTTGTTTACCTCTTCATGTTTCACTTGAGTCTTGTATTTGAAAGTCAAATTTTCTATTCATCTCTGGTCTTTTCATCAAGAATGCTTGAAAGTCCCCTATTTCACTGAATGACCATTTTTTTCTCCTGAAGGGTTATACTCAGTTTTGCTGGGTAGGTGATTCTTGGTTGTAATCCTATTTCCTTTGCCCTCCAGAATATTGTATTCCATGTCCTCCAGTCCCTTAATGTAGAGCTGTTAAATCTTGTGTTATCTTGATTGTGTTTCCACAATACTTGAATTGTTTTTTTCTGGCTGCTTGAAGTATTTTCTTCTTGACCTGGGAACTCTGGAATTTGGCTATAATATTCCTAGGAGTATTCTTTTGGGGGTCTCTTTCAGGAGGTGATCAGTGGATTCTTTCAATTTGTATTTTGCCCTCCGATTCTAAAATATCAGGGCAGTTTTCCTTGATAATTTCTTGAAAGATGATGTCTAGGCTCTTTTTTAGATCATGGCTTTCAGATAGTCCAATAATTTTTAAATTCTCTCTCCTGGAACTATTTTCCAGGTCAGTTGTTTTTCCAATGAGGTATTTCACATTGTTTTCTATTTTTTCATTTTTTGGATTTGTTTTACAGTGTCTTGATTTCTCATAAAGTCACTCTCTTCCAATTGCTCTATTCTAATTTTTAAGGAAGTATTTTCTTCAGTAAGCTTTTGGACTTCCTTTTCCATTTGGCCAATTTTGCTTTTTAGGGCATTCTTCTCCTCATTGGCTTTTTGGACCTCTTTTGCCATTTGGGTTAGGCTATTTTTTAAGGTGTTATTTTCTTCAGTATTTTTTGGGGTCTCCTTTAGCAAGCTGTTGACTTGTTTTTCATGATTTTCTTGCATCACTCTCATTTCTCTTCCCAGTTTTTCCTCTACTTCTCTTACTTGCTTCTCAAAATCCCTTTTGAGCTCTTCCAAGGCCTGGGACTGATTCATATTTTTCTTGGAAGCTTTGGATGTAGGAGCTTTGACTTTGTTGTCTTCTTCTGGTTGTATGTTTTGATCTTCTTTGTCACCAAAGTAAGATTCTATAGTCTGACTCTTTTTGTGCTGCTTACTCATGATCCCAGCCAATTACTTGAGTTACAAACTGTTAAGGTAGGGGTCTGTTTCCAGTGTGGAGAATGTACTGTCCCAAGCTTCGAGGGTTTTGTGCAGCTGTTTTCAGAGATACTTCTAGGGACCTTAAATTTTCAGTTCTTCTAAGGTGCTATGATCAAGGGGTGAGGTGTTTACTCCTTTCCTGACCTGTCATGACTCTGGTCATGAGTAGCCACAAGCACTCTTTTCTGTCTTGCAACTGTGAGGAGGAGCACTCTTCCTCTCCCCAGGACCACCACCCAGAACTGTGACTGAGATCTGAGCATGGGCAAAGCAAGTGAATCCTGCACTAGCAAAGAGATCTCTGCAAGGGACTGGGGCAGAGACCACGGCACTTCTCTCTCTCATCGCAGACACAGATTTTTCCCACTGACCTTCTAAGCTGTCTTTGGCATTTGTGGGTTGAGAAGTCTGGAAACCACCACAGCTGCCCACCATTCAGTCCTCTGAGGCCTGCTCCAGGTTCGCTGAGGCATGGGTGCCCATGCCAAACTGCCCCTCATTTCCCCACCCAGCATGATATATGCCTTTCTGTTCAACCATCCAGGCTGTCTTGGGCTGGAAATTTGTTTCACTTTATCTTTTAGTGGGTTCTTCTGCTTTAGAATTTGTTCAGAGCCATTTTTTACAGGTATTTGGAGGGGTTTGGGGGAGAGTTCAAGCAAGTCACTGCTTTTACTCTGCCATCTTGGCTCCACCTCCCCTTTTAGTGTCTTTATAAAAGTTTTACGTTAGTTTTTTTTAAAGAGCAAAAATCCACTTTCTCTTCCTCATATCCCCCTCCCTTATCCCTTTCCCCCACCCTGAAAAAGAAAGAAAAACAAAACTTCTGTTAGGACCATGTATAGTCAAACAAGACAAATTTCTAGACTGGCCATGTGAAAAAAAAATCTATGTCTCTATCAGTACTCTGAGGAAGAAGATCTTTCCTCAAAATTTCCAAAAGACATTTGTTCTTTCCTCTTATGTCATTCTAACTGGTATCACCCTTATTTGTGTACTTGTCACATCTTCCCTATTAAATTGTAAGTTCCATGAGAGAAAGGATTGTACCTGCTTTCATCTTTCCATCCTTAAAACCAAGCATAGGATCTGGTACGTTGTAAGTGCTTCAAAAGTTTTGCTGAATTAAACTGTACATCACCTCTCTACCAGGAGGTGGGTAGCATGGTTCACTTTGAGTTGTCTGAAATCATGGTTGATCATTGTGTTGATCAGAATTTCTAAGTTTTTCTGAAGTTTTGTCTTTATAATGTTGTTATCGTATAAATTGTTCTCCTGGTTCTGCTCATTTCACTTTGTATCAGTTCATGCAAGTCTTCCCAGGTTTCTCTGGAACCATCCCCTTTAGCCCTTTAGTTTCAACATTCAATGTCAGAAATATATTTTTTTAAAATGAACATTAATTATTCTTAGCAACCCAAACTAAAAGTTCTCCTTCATGCAGCTGAACCTTTGGCAAACTGTGAGGCAGAAATAAGGATTGAGATAAAGTAATCTTAAGAGCTAAAATGGATGAAGGGTTGGCTATTTCAAAATCAGGAGTACAGTATTAAGGCTTACTAGACTAAGTAGTCTTGGTCAGGTTTGTTTCCAGAGGAACCTCTAATGATCTGTTAATTGGTGGAAGTAGTGCATTCCCCCCACTGGAGATCTTCAGTCAGAGGCTGTAGGATCATTTGTCTGGGTTGTTGTAAGGGAGACACTTGTTCAGCTAGCTACAGGTTAGGCTAGATGGCTCCTGAAGTACCTTCTGATTCTGAGAGTCTGTGATTATAATTGTATATAAAAGTATACTTTTCCTCCTATATGATACCACCCTTTAGATAATTTGAATGCTAGTATGAATGACAATTGCAGATTTTTTGCAGGTTTCTTTTTTAAAAAAAGGCAGTTTTACAGAACTGTTGCTTAAATACCATTTTCCCCTTCATCTGTTTTTCAGAATAATTATGCAGTATTCTCAAAAAGAATTCAAAGAAGTATAATTTTTAAATTTATTTTAAGCCTTTAATGTTTCTGTAACATGAAAAATAGCTTTGATTAGGCAAAAGAAGCAGAATTCATGGCTTTCATTTCAGTATAAAGTCATTTGAGAGTTACTGATACTAGTTTTATTCTGTTATAAAAGTAAGAAAGCTTTTACTTTGGGGTCCAGTTAAGTTTCACTTTCCTGCAGGGACACGAAGACTGGGTGATGGATGTTGCAATTAGCAACAACAGAAAATGGGTTATTTCTGCTTCAAAGGTAAAACTTACAAATATTTCATTAATTCTAAATCTCTATTGCATTAGCTAAAATTTATATATATGCTACATATACATATGTATATATATGCTACATATATATTATTTGCTATCAAAGGAAATTCCTTTCAGAGCAGGTAGGACAACTAATACAGAGACTTAATTTTAATACAGACTAGTGGGGAGAGAGCAGATGAACTTTTTGGCTGGGAAAGTCTACTGCAGAAAGTCAGTGGAGAACTCTGAGTCTCCTTGTACCTATGAATTCAATTCAGATTTATTCATTCTTAAGCTGTGTTAATGACATTGGCTAACTTAAAATACTTTCATTTAAAATCATAGAATGTAAAGCTCTAAACCTGAGAGGTCATTCTTACTTCAGTAATTTGGAGACAAATGTTTATACAGACATAAATTAATTCCTTGGAATTTTCCCCATTGCAAAGATTCTTGGAAAGATTCAGTCATTTTCTGGAGAAATTAGTTGTTTTCTTAATTACCCAACAAATCTAGCCTCTATATCATCTCCTCAACTTGGTTGTAATCCATAGTGCTCATAGACCTCTTTGGACAGATAGCAAAAGGAGGATCTCAAATCAGTTAAACTCGTCAAGTATTTATTAAACATCAACTATGTGCAAAGTACTGTACTAGGCTGGCATTGACAAAAGCAGTGAAATAGTCCTTTTCCCTTGTAACAATTAAAATTAAGGTAGACTGAGGTACAAAGTTCTGAGCATGATCAATTTCTCAGGAAAGCAGGAATTTACCAATAAATAGGATCTTAGCTTCCCCAGCAAATCTAAGATCCTGAATGAAGGGGACAGCTCTTTTTCATAATTTTGAGGAGTATAGAAAATAGGAGGGCTAACATCATAGATGGAAGAGAATATGATTGGATGGAAATTGGGAATGAGGGCTAGCAACAACACCCTTCCTTCCCTCCTGTGACTAAGAAATGTTCATTGTTTGAGTCCAACTACTTATGCAAGGACAGAGAAAATAGACCAGACTTCTTTGATTAATGAAACAGACATCTTTGAAGTGTAGTTTGGTGGTATAAAGATACTAGATCAGACTCACTGGTGTCTACTTACCTCCTTCAAGGTTAACAGATTTCCTTGATATAAGAATAGAACAGCGATTAACAGAACTGGATTGCTAAACTTAATTCACTGCAGGTCAGCTAAATTTCTGAATTAAGTTCAGAGATAAAAAATCATGACTTTGGCAGTTAACAGGGCAAACTCAATTAACTGGAAATAGGGTCAATTAAAAAAGGCACAAAATCAATCTGATTATTTCACCCTTAAACCTTAAGAAATATTCCACTGGGAAGCATACAACATGTACACAGATAAGTAAATATAAAGCATATGCAAAGTAGTTTCTAGAGTGGGGGTAACACTAACAATTATGGGGATCTACAAAGTCCATGAGTAGGAGGTAATGCCTGAGCTGAGCTTTGAGGCAAGCTAGTGACTCTAAGAGGTGGAGGTAAGGAAAGGGGACTTGCTAGGCATGGCAGACATCCTTTGAAAAGGCACGGATACAGGAGATGGAATGGTGTGTATAGTAGTTGGCAGGTAAGCAAGGTTGGCCGTAATGTAGTAGGTATGAGAGGGAGTAATGAAAAGTGAGTCTGCAAAAACAGGGAGGATCCAGATTGTGAAGCACTTTAAATGCTAAATAGAGGAGTCTATATTTGTTCCTAGAAGGCAATAGGGAGTCCCTGAAGTTTATGGAACAGGGGAATGACATGGTCAATATGCTTTAGAAATTTCACTTTGGCAGTTGTGTGAAAGATGGATTTGAGAGGAGAAAGACTGGAAGACAGGAAAACAATAAGAGACTGCTGCTGCAGTAGTTCAGGTGAGAAGTGATGAGAGCCTTAAGTAGGGTGGTAGCCTCATAAATTGAGAGAAGGGGAGAGATATAAGAGATGCTGTGAAGGTAGAATCCAAAACATCTGGCAAATGGTTGTGTATGGGGAGTGAGGAGGAGCTGAGGATAACTCTTAGGTTGCAAACTTGGCTGACCAAGATGGTGGTATTCATAAGAGAAATTGGGAAGTTAAGAGGAAGAATGGATTTAGGAGTAAAGGTAATGAGTCCCATTTTGGACATGTTAATTTTGCAATGCCTATAGGGTACAGAGGTAAGGCAGTTAGTGATATAAGAATGGAGTTCAGGAGACAAATGAAAGCTGGTTATGTAGATGTGGGGGTCATGGGCAGAAAAATGATAAGTGAACCAATGGGGACTCATGACATCACTGAAAGACAGAGAAGTCTCAAGATAGAACAACTGCGGTCTACCCACACTTAAGGGACGGGGTATGGATGATGATCCCACAAATGAAACAGAAGAGAATTCCACAAAGGAGACGGAAAAGGAGAATCCAAACAGTTAAGAAGAGGACCAAGAGACAGCGTGTCACAGGATCCACGGGAGGAAAGAATATTTAAGAGGAAGGGATGTTTGTTAAAGTCAAAAGCTGCAGAGAGCTCAATGAAGAGAAAAAACTCTTTAGGGCTTTTTCATAATTCCTAGAACATCATAGGCATTTTAAAGGGCTTGTTTGGTTGATTTAGCAGTTAAGAGATTGTTGGTAACCTTGGAGAGAACAGGTTCTATCAAGTACAGGGGAAGGAGGGCATCATTAACCATATTGAAAGGAAATAAGGAGTGGGAAATGAGGAATTGCTGGTCATGAGTGTAGATGACTTTTTCTAGGAGTTTGGCTGCAAAAGAGATATGAAATAGAGGATAACTGAAAGAATGGCAGGGTCAAGTAAATGTTTTTTTTTTTAAGGATGAGAGAGAGATGGGAATGTTTGTAGGCACCAAGGAAAGAAATAGTAGATAAGGAGAGATTAAAGGTGTTAGAGAGATGGAAAGAGAGAGACAGAGAGAATTACCAGCAGGGCAAACCCCAAGAGAAGATAGAGAAGGGAGGGATCAAGAGTGCAAATAGAAGACTTGAACTTGGCAAGGAGACTAGAGAAAATGAGAAGAGAAAGGGGGATGTTGTAAAGGGATTTAAGGTCTAGAATTGGGAAGAAGAGGGAATTCAAATGGAATGGCTTCTATTTTTTTCAATTAAGTAGATGATGTCCTTTGCTGAGATTGAGGTGGGAGGGAATTGTTTAGATATTTTGAGGAGAGAAGAGATTTGGAACATTTGCTGTGGGTAGTGTGAGAGTCTATTAGAGAAGAATGGAAGGATTGCTATGTATCAGTGGGGGCCAACTGAAATTCAATAACATAAATATATAGCTTCATTTTGTGACTTTTCCAGCACCCAAGGATAAGTTAAGAAGACAAATTGTAGGGATAACTAGGGTTGGGGTGTGGCAAAATATAAACATCAATAGGATAAGGGAATAAAAGAATTGAGGGTAGAACACAGTATAAAATTGAATTGCTCAAATATAGTGTTAAGATTCTGAAAGGAGGAAAAGTCAGTCATTCAGTAAACATTTATTAAATACCTACTATGTGCCTGATACTGTACTAAGTGCTAGTGATACATAGAGAGGCAAAAGATAATCCCTGCTCTCAAGGAGCTTACGTTATAATAAGGGAAGACAGTATACAAAAGGAAGCTGAAAATGTGGTTGGAGAGGAGGGAAGATACCTAGACAGGGGCATGATGAAGTCCCCAGGAGTTCTTCATTTGACTCTAGGCAAATGAGGAATGAGTCAAATGAAGAAATAAGTGGCTTGGATAGCCCCCTTAAATGGAGAAAAGTGAGTATAGAGCAGGAGTAGTGGACTGAGAGACTGAGAAGGGGTAGGGTGTGACTGGATGTATAACTGAGGTTGAAGAACAGGTTTAGGAAGAGGGCAGCAGAAGGAACGATGAATGAACAGGAGGTTATGGCCATGGAGGGGAATTTCAGATTTCTGGATCATGGAGAGTGAATATTTTCAGCATATAGAAGTACCCAAGTGTAAAGGCAGAGGATGGGATGGTAAGGACATAACAGAAAGTGTATCCAGGATGAGGGAGGTTGGCAGGGATACTGTGTCTTCCCATGAAGGACAAGTTCCTGAGATTGCAAGACCATGGAAGGAGTGTGAAAGGCAGAGATTTAATATGAAGGGAAGTTTGTTAACAATACAATGTGTATCTTTTTTTTTGTTTTTAGGCAATTGAGGTTAAGTGACTTGCCCAGGGTCACACAGCTAGTAAGTGTGAAGTGTTTGGTCTGAGGCCAGATTTGAACTCAGGTCCTCCTGACTTTAGGGCCAGTGCTCTATCCATCGTGCCACCTAGCTGCCCCTGTTAGCAACACAATGGAGATTTTCTATAGGGCAACGTGGAAGTAGGGAGCAGAACAAAAGACTTGGGATGGGTAGGACTAGGATAGATGGTAATGAGGGAGTAGAAAATTATAAACAGAGGACCAGAGTTTTTAGATTTCATCTTGGTAGATGGCAACACTGAATCTTAGGGATTTGGAGCAAGGGGAAAGGGACTTTCTTTGCTAGCCAAAAAACAGTTGATTATCTCATCCTTCCCAGTAAGCAATTAGTAACTCCTTCCCAGGTGAAGATGGGAGGGCTTGAGTTGATAATGATATAATTAAGTCATTAGAAGTAGCTTGGGAATCACTTATGAAGAATAATACAGCAAGTTCTGGGGGTTTTCTTATTCCTAAGATTTAGTCTAATCTAGAAGGGCTTGAGGATTTTTTGTTAAGTGTTTCACCCTTAAAAATGATACCCTTAAAATGGCTCTATAGACACACTTAGTAAGCAACTTTTGAGCCAATATTATTTTTTGGCCTGTAGTAGACCTTTAGTTAGGAAGTTATTTCCTAATAACTGTGATTCTTATTCCTTTATTTTCTTTTTTTGGTGTTGTTGTTGGCTGTCTTTATTTCCAAAATTTTGTGAAAAACTTTATTGCATTACTGCAGAGAACAGCAAATACCCCTAGTAACATACTAAATATTTAGTACATGGTTGGGAACACTGTAAATCTGAACCAGAACTTGAGTGTCTGGTCCAAGTCGGCCTTTTAGTGTGGCCATGGGTATAGCCTTGCATCAGAAGCAGGGATTCCTTAGGTTGGGTGCAGTTCAAAACAAAACTCTGCTGCTAGGGTGCCATCCAGTCAATGTCACTGAGGTTCTTGGCCAACCAAAACCTCAGTAGCTAAGTGTCCCAAATTAACAATAATAAAATTCTTCTGGAAGTCATTTCTGGCAGTGGCAAAGAGGCACGCAATGGAAGCCACTCCTGGAGGCCCTCCAGCTCCTCCACTTACAGCCCCTGCTGAAGGTACCACCTGAGGTATCACCACCATCCTGCTCATGGCTTTGAATGTCCTAAGTGCTCAACTCCATGTGGAATGATTTCTTTTTCCAAAAAGAACAATACCTGGAGCATTTCCTGATGTTTTCATAGAGGCATACACTAGAAAAGCAGTCCTATCTTATCTTTTGACCGTACTTTAATTTTTTGGAAATTCCAATGCTATAGTGTAATGTGTAGGGCCCTGAACAGGCCCAGGAGTTAGAAGAACTGGGTCCTAATCCTAGTTTTGCCAGTAATTATCCATGTGACCTAGGACAAATCACTTCCCCTCTGGGCCTTAGTTTCTTCATCTGTGAAATGGGTTGGGTTTTTTTGGTTTTGTTTTAAATTTTTTTTTTAAACAGGATGGTCTTTTCTGTGTGATGAATATTGTTTTTGGAATTTTAGGACACTACTATAAGACTGTGGAATATTGAAAAGGCTGGTCAAATTCCTCTGTTAATAGAATACAAAAGACTCCATGGTTTGCAAGTAATTCAGGTTAGTATTAAAGGAAATGGAGCTTAATGTTGTCTCTCATTTTCTGGTTTTATAAATCAACTTAGTAGAGAAAGAAAGAAACCCAACTAGAAACCAGGACAACCTAGATCCATAGTGATTAAAAAAACCCAACAAGTTATCCTCTTATTCCCAGGTGACTTATTTCTTTCTCTTACCTCTAAAAATGGCAGTGGTTCTGGAGTCAGAGGACCTCATTTTAAATCCTGACTCTGATGATTATTAACGTGTGACTTAACCTACCTGTGCCTTAGTTTCCTCATCTGTAAAATGAAAGAGTTGAATTAGATAGTCTCTGAGGTTCCTTCCAGCTGTAGATCTATGAGGCTCTGACTTTATTTTCATTATAAATAGTCTTAGACTCCAACTACATGCGTGTGTGTGTGTGTGTGTGTGTGTGTGTGTGTGTGTGTGTCCAAGGAATTAACCAGATACCCTACACCCTCAGTCATGTCTCCAGTGTCATATTAAAATTGAAGTCAAATTTTGGTGTGAAGGTGTCTTTGCCATTGTCAGTAAAGCTTTTCCCCTGTAGCTTCTTTCCTCCCCAGATCTATTAGAGCTACCAACCTCTTGACAGGTGCATCTCTGCTCTTCCTATGAAACCTACTTGCTTTTCTAGAGCACCTCTTCAGGTGTGGGTGGAAGGGGAAAGGCAGCAGATGTGATTCCTGGTATCAGCTGGTTAGCACTTCTGATATGCCAAGACTGCCATCTGATATGCCCTCTGCCATCCCCAGAGCCAGCCAGCAGTGAAGACGTAGGCCTTCCTGGTCAGGAGCCAAGAGCAGACTTTACAACATTCCAAACAGCTGCCTCTGAGTTTCCACATCTCTGTTTTCCTTGAAAGTAATTAGTTGTTTCTTTACTCCCTTCTGTAGGGACAGAATAGGGTCTTGGGTTTGGGAGTGAAGTGCTAGAAATGATGGCTAGAGCATTCAGGACTAAGTTGCTTAAACAATGATTGTGTGACTTAGTTTACAATGATTAAAGCTAGACAAAATGCTTATTTCTATAGAAAGCCTATAGAAGTTAGCAAAATACAAAGCCAGAAAATATATGTGTTTTTTTTCCTCTTATTTTTCAAAGGGGATGAGGGCAGGGCAGGAGAGGTTAGAGAGGGGAGACAAAGTTTTACAACATAAAAAAATCAAATTTCCTACCCAAAGCTTAAGTTTAGTGTACACAATTTAACTTATTGATTGTGAAGAAAACTCTAAAGTTCTTAATCTGGGGTCTGTAAACTTTTATTTTTTTATTTTTAATTTTTTTTTGGTTAGACAATGGGGTTAAGTGACTTGCCCAGGGTCACACAGCTAGTAAGTGTTATGTGTCTGAGGCTGGATTTGAACTCAGGTCCTCCTGAATCCAGGGTTGGTACTCTATCCACTGCCTCACTAACTGCCCTCTGTGAACTTGAAAAAAAAAATTGACAACTATTTCAAATCACATTTTATTTTCAAATGAAGATCTGTCTTTTTTGCCTTTCACTACGCCCTCCTCATCCCTTCCACTCAGAAAGTACAAAAAACAAGACCCCTATTACAAACATGTCTAGTCAAACAAAACAAATTCCAGCATTGACCATGTACCCTAAAATACATCTCAATCTATCACTTCTCTGTCGGGGGTAGGCAGCATGTTGCACATGAGTCCTCTGGGATTGTGGTTAGCCATGTTGTTGATCAGAATTCCCAAGTCTTTCAAAGCTAATTGTGTTTCAATATAATTGTCATCCTATGTGTTATGGTTTATGCAATTAACATTATCCTGAGAAGGGCTCCATTCGTATGCGTCACCAGACTGACCGCCAGAGGGGTCTGTGGCACAAAAAAGGTTAAGAACCTCTGCTCTAGAACTAGTATTTGCTATAAGAACTTTCCCAAATTGATTTAAAATTGAGTTCAAAATATGATGAAAATTATAGAATTTTGGAGCTGGGAGAGAAATTCAGTAGATCATTTAGTCTGCCTCTCCCTCCCCCCATTTTACAGATGAGGAAAGTAAAGTCTAGGGAGGATATGAAGAATAAAAAGAGTTGAGGTGTTGGAATAAAAATATTTGTGTCCAAATTCTGACTCTAAAACTTTGGGTAAAAAAATCACTTCCCCTCTCTGAGCCTCAATTTTCTCATCTGTAAAATGGGGATAGTACTACTATGCTACCTCCTTCACACAGCTGTAATGGGGAAAGTACACACCTTAAAGTACATATAAAGTGGGTTGGTGTTATTGCTCCCAATCCCATTACAAACTGATGGCAGAGCCAGGATTATAACCTACACCTCCTAATTCCCACACCAGGTCTCTTTCTGTTATATAATACTGGCTAGAGTCCTTCCCCAGAGTAAATCAAGCACATTTCTTTAATACTAGTCCGTTAGATAGTTTCCGGGTGCATTAGCAAGTTGGAAACATGCAGAATTGCCCCATAGACAAATGTCAGACTGTTCTGGACGGGGGAGGTTCAACTTCCATCATACAGTCTCAGGTCACACCACACAGTGCCGTACAAAAGCTAAATCTGGTATGTTTGGACAATGTCAATAGCTCAAATAGATAATCTGGGAACAGAAAGTCATTGTGCTGTGTAAACCTGGCAGTGGTGTGCTGGTACATGTTTAACAAATGCTTCTCTGGAAAAAAAATGTATGCATGACATGCTTTCAGGTTTAACCTGCATTATTGATATTTTCTCCATCACTTCCTTAAGCTTAGACAATCAACAAAACAATCAATAAAGCCATGATTTGTACTCTTTGCTGGTTTCTGAGGGCAAATCCTCACACTGAAAATTTAACAATCAAATTTTTGAGCCTGTTCAAGCTGGTTATAGCACACTCCTGAGACCTGATCTCCAAAAGTTATTAGGTTGTAAAAATACATTCAAATGTAGCAGTTAAGAGATACACATGTTTGTCACCTCTGATTGACATGTCCTCTCTATTATTCAAATATTTTATATCAGTGTGAAAAATGTGAAAAGGCTTTCTCACTCCTACAATTTGATGAGGAATTTGAATTGGTATCCAAATGTCTATCCTGTCGATTGGCTTCTCCTTCAAGACATGCTTTGCCAGCACCACCTGCAGGTGATGAAGATGAGAAAGATGTCCCAAAGAAATTGAAGATGTGAAGTCTTTGTCTGTACCTTTCTGGGGTATGCATGTGGTTGGTAACCTTCCACATGAGTCCTGCATGAAGGAGCAGTACGTGCCAGTCTTGGGTGGGGGATGACAGAACAGAACAGAACAATGGTGGCCCTATTCTGGAATAAATAGTTTATTTAAGTAAACAGATATGACAACTAGATTTCTTTGAGGGAAAAATTGAATATGAACTCTGAAAATGTTACTACACTTTGATTAAGTACATTGTAGCTGTCGTGGGTGAAAGATGAAATAACTGAGGAAACAAAGGTTCCAGATTCTGAGCCTATCAATTCATTAAGCAATGCATGCCAATCGCGTAACAAATTGGGACCAGGCCTCCTCAGCTTTGGCACTGGACCCTGAATATGGGGGGGGCAGATTTTTATGCATTAAAAAAACAATTAATCAAATAAAACCAACTAAGTAAAAGAAAACAACCAGGATACAACATTAGGTAATCTGATTTTTAAATGGAGGGAAGATTAAGGGCTCACCAAAATTGGGAGGGGGAGGGCAAGCAGATACAATTCCCTGAAATCAGAAAAAGAGGTCTCTTAGTTTATTGCCTGTATTCCATCAAAGGAACATGAAAACAATAACTGATTGACCAGGATGGGGCCAGTTTTCAGATAAGACATATGGGTTGTTTGAGATGTATAATTGTGAGAAAACTACTTGCATCAATCAAGACGGCATTTCTGGTCAGCATAACCTGGGTTCTTAATTAAGGGTCTCTAAGCAACAGGTCAAAGTGGTTCAGCTGCTCAGCCATGCAGGGCTAGGTTCAAACAATGCAGTCAAGTTTTCTCACAATTCCCATAACTGAATGAAAATTTCTGACAAGATAGAAATTGAACTAGACCCATAAGTGAACAGAAAGGGCAGTGAGCTAGCCTTAGAACTGAGTTGCAAAATGGAGTTGGTGTGGTTCACTCAATCCCCACAATTTCCTCATAGCTAAAGACTTTGTAGAATCATATTACTGCCTTTATGAGTATCTCTGTGATGATATTTTGCTATTTTGGTTAGGAGATCCAAATGCTTTATATGTCTTGTGTTCATAGATAACTTTGCCTAATTATAATGCTGCCTTTGGGATTCAGAGATTGATCTGTAATTAAGACATCTTATAATGAGGTGTTTGGGGCATATTTGTAAATAAGTTTTCTTAGATGGGGATCAAGAAAAATGATTCTTCATACAAAACTTTACTCTTGAGTGAATATTGTTATAAGAGGTTTCAATATGTTTCTACACCACAATATATTTCATTGCTCTGTATGCCAGAATTTCCACAGCTTTCAGAATAGGTATGTATATGTGTTATGCATGTGTGCATATATCAATTAGCATGCATATATAATTAGCAATATATAGCTATATTCCACACATACATCATATGTGTATATTAGTATATGGTTTCACAGTGGGACTTAAAATAAGTTTGAAAAAGGAATAAAATACTTCAGAAAATTCTGAACCCTATACCTGAAAAGCACATGTTTTACTTTTTAAAAACAACTTCTGAAGTTTCCATTTCACTTGATTAACATGCAATTTTCTCTACAGTATATTTAAGAGCTTTGTCATAGGATTAATATCTGTATAACAAATTATTAAGTATTACATATGATTCTGTATATAAGATTATGAAATATCAACTAATAAAAGATGAGTTCCAGGATGACACCTCATCCAACAAAAATATTTCTGTAACCTAGTGGTTTTCTTTGTAAGATGAGGCAGGTAATGAGGCATTTGATATAGCTATGACTGAACTATGAATGAGATTTAAGTTAGCTGAAGAGAGAAATTTACCTTGGTTTGTAAGATTACAAAAGCGTAATGTACAAAAGTACATTGCCTTCAAACAATCTAATGAAGATCCATAGCCTATACAGTTTTGGTGGCTATTGATTCCATCTCAATAAGGTGATGATTTAAAAGTAAATGGTGTATTTGGTGACTGTGTTGATCAAGTTGTATTTATTACTCTCCCTTGCCTTATTCAAGGGCAGCTAGGTAGTGTAGTAGATAGAGTGTCATGCTCGGAGTCAAACTCTTCCTGAGTTCAAACATGGCCTCAGACACATACTAGCTGTGTGACCCTGGGCAAGTCACTTAACCCTGTTTGCCTCAGTTTCCTCATCTGTAAAATGAGCTAGAGAAGGAAATGACAAACTCTTCTGTTATCTTTGCCAAGAAAACCCCAAATGAGGTCATGAAGAATCAGACATAACTGAAAAATGATTGAACAAAATTACCATAATCAGTGCGAAGGTATTGATAAGAAGTAAGAGGTCACTGATTTTTTTTTTGTCTCTGGATGAAAGTTTTCCCTGATTTATGAAATTACAATTGCTAAACAAATTGGGTGATAAGGTATAAAGACTGAATTAGCCAGACGCAGTGGAGTTGCCTGAGTTTAATGGAATCACATGGGTTAGAAATGGATCTTTTCATTTCGGTCCACTCTCTGAGAAACAGAACCTCCTGCCTTGACTCCCTGTCGTCAAACTCTTTCTTTCAGTTACTTTGGTACTTTGTAGAATAACAGAATCTCAGGGTTGGCTGGGATCTCAGAAGTCTAATCCCATCCATTCTCAAGCAAGGATGTCTTCTCCAACATCCCTAAGAAGCAACCACCAGTGAGGAGGAATTCACTGTTTTCTCAGCCAGCTTATTTCAATCTGGGACAACTCTAATTATGAAGAAATTTTTCTTCACATAGAGTCAAAATCTGCCTTTCTGAAACATCTGTCCATTCTTCTCTGGGGCTAAAAAGGAATCTAATACCTCTTTTACGTGCTATCCCTTCAAACACTTCAAGATAACTATCATTTCCCTTAAATCTTCTCCTTCTTACGCTAAATACCCCAGTTACTTTAATAAATCCTTATGTAGTATGGTTTCCAGTCCCCTTATCATCTTGGTTTCCTTCCTAATGACACACATCACTGTCTTTCCTAAAAGGTGGTGCCCAAAACTGAACATGATATTTTAAATATGGTTTGGACAGTGAAGAAAACACCTTTTCTCCTAAGTCTCTTTAATACTTCCTAGGGTGATATTAAATTTTTTGACTGCCATGTCAAATTCATTTTGATCTTGTAATCCATCAAATCCCTCAGCTCTTTCCCAAACAAATTGTTTTCTAGTCATGCCTCTCCTCCACATCCCTTATATTTTGAAGTTATTATTTGATGGATTCATAATCTCGTCAGGGTGGATAGTCCCTCCACTCATCAGTGTGGATATTCCCTTGACTGGTAGAGATTTCTGCACATTGATGAATTCTCATCCTGTGTGACTCTTGTCTGTGTCCTTCCATAAATTTGGGGGGATTTATACAACACACCAGAGGGTTTTCTCTAGGACTTTTAATATTTTGTGACTGCACTAATGTGCAGTGTTCAAGCTGTACATCTGTTATCCTTTGATCTTGCTCTCTGGCTGGCCAATCTCCTTTTCTAGATATACTTGTAATGGATGGTGTCTTTGATGACAATTTTTTAAAAATGGTACATTTCACAAAAGAAATTTCCTAACCCCCAAACACTACCATTCAACATATTCCCCAAAAACAGTTCAGCAAAGATGCATGATTGCATGTTTGAAACTGATAGTATGTGTCGTTTTTCTCTTTTTTAGCTTAATGATGATAGTATGGTACCAACATTGTTGTATTTGACTCAAGTTTTATTTCTTACTGTTAATTTCATTTACAGAATTGTAGTCCTATACATTGTTCTTCTGGCTGAGCTTTCATTACTCTGTACTACTTCATGCAAGTCTTCCCTTGTTCCTCTGAATTCTTCATGTTTGGCATTCCTTATGGTGCAGTAATACTATACTAGATTCATATAACACTTTGTTTAGTCATTCTGTACTCACTGGGCAAATACTTTATTCTCTCAGATTAATGTAAGCTCTTTGAGGGCAGGAACTCTTTCTTTTGTTTGGACTTTGTATCTCCAGGGTCTAGCATTGTGTTGTGCCTTGCAGATAGTCATTTACTAAATATTTTTTGAATGAAATTAAATATTTTGTTCCCAGTTTTTTTTATTTCAAATAACATTGCTATGATTTTTTTACATATGGACCTTTTCTTCCTGTCAGTAACTTCCTTGGGGTATAGTCCTAACCATGAGACTTCTAAGTCAAATGAATAACTTAGTGTTTAGGCTATTGCTTTAAAATCATTATTCATAATATGCCTGAGCCTACTTGCTGCACCCACTATGTATCTTTCAATTGGCCTTTGGATCACCAATAATTTTGATTTTTAGAGATTGTGATATTCCTTGATTTATACCCAGTTAGCAGCTTTAGGAGAATATTAATATTAAAAAGATGTGCTTTTCATTGGCAGGGAACAACTTGGAATTACTGAAAGTATAGCACAATTTCTCAGAAGCATCCTATCCTCCTTAAAATCTGGGTCCAGTTAATTTGTCTATCTGCAGTGTCTATCCAGGCTTTAATATAATCCCTGTGGACTACCTCAGTGGAGTACCCATTTAAGTACCTGACATGCTTTGTTCTACAGATGTTATTCATCCGCTTGTTTTTTTCTGCGTAGATTACTAGGCCATGCATCTCATTGAGAAAGGCCTGTGACCTTCCTGAGCTTGACATAATAAGCAAAATGTCATCACAAATAGGAGTACCTGGAGCTCTTCATTATTGATAGCATAATCCTTTCCTGTTTGAATTTCCATGATAGTAACGATCACTTTTGGCAAGCATATTTCTTCTTGGTTTTTTTTTTTTGCCTTGCTTAATACTTATCGTCAAAGAATTGCCAAACAAAGTTATCTCTGTGGTTACATATCTGTCAAGGAATGTTAAGATACATGAAAGACACATGAAAAGTACCTTTCTTCTTAAGGCTGCATTTGCTGAAATGCTTTTTAGTAATAAAAAAAACCTCAACATAATTTCATCTTGTATTCTCAACACCAGTGGAGATGTGGTCTGCCATAGTTGTGCAAACCTACCTGTTGCCTTTTCATCTCTGAATAGTGCATAAGATACCTTTTTCATAAAAGTTTTATAGAAATAAGAAAGGAGGCAGATGGGTTGGGTAGTTTTTGAGATCTCCTAGGTAATTTTTTCTTTATATTGATCTTACCTATGGTTTCCTACTCATTCTTTTGAAATTGTTCCCTCTTTGAGATATCTTGAAATTGGCTTTGGATTGCCTTTAAAATTGTGTTGCCTTTAGCATGCTTCTTTTTAAATTAAATTTAATTAATTATTTACATTTTAGTTTTCAGCATTTACTTTTATAAGATTTTGAGTTCTAAATTTTTCCCTTCTCCCTCTACTACCTCCTC